CGAGTTTTAGAGTTTGGGTTGTGGGGCTTTCGGCATTCGGGTTGTAAGATCCGCACAGAGGAGAACCTTGAATACGGACATGGAAGTTGGTAGTCTAGGAACTTGATGTTGGAAGTGAACTTTAACATCGCAGTCATATATGCTCTGACCTCGAAATTGCTTTCCAGAATAAGGAATGTGGAGAAGCTTGAAGCTAGCCTTGTGTGCGCGGTGTGGGTTCTCAACCCTAATCCCTAAACCCCAAACCCTGCCTTTATTCCTCAATGGCTATTCAAAAAAGGGGGTTTAGTGTTTCTACAACTGCTGAGGCCGGCGCACTCCGGCGGCTCCTCGGCTATTTTTGACTTGAGGGTGCTGTGAAAGTACCTCAAGCTTGCTTGGTTTGCGGTTTCGGTTTAGGTTAGTGGGTTTAGGGTTCCGGTTTTGCGAGAGGGAATCCTGCTTTCACAGTTCACAAAGCCATGTAAACCCATACAACCAGCATAAGTGACACTTACCTACAAGAAAACAGTATTATTCAGCAGCGCCTTGTGTCTGGGAGCACGGACTGCGCGACGGGGATGAGACGGACGACGACAACATGCGGCACCATGCCGGGAGTCAGACGTTAACTACAGTACGTTATAGCATATTAGTTCGTGGTATACGATGACTATATTCTATTAGCAGTAGTACCAGCGGTAGCAGCAGGGCAGCAGAAGTGCAATCGTCGTCGCAGTTGTAGTAGTGGTAGCGATATTGCAAAAGCAGCACAGTTATGAGAGACTTACATAGTGGTGGAACCAATCCTGGCAATATTCGCAATGTTGGCCGAGATGCGAGTCATGTGCAGATACCCACTGGCCTGAATGTGCATGCTGCCCACCAGGCAATGAAGGTTCAGAACGTCACAGCAGAGACGAGAACTTATCTCTGAGGCGTGGTCGGAACAAGTAACATGCGAAGCTGAGATCCCCTGCATAGAACCCCTCGTGGATGGAGTGCAGCACCTCCTTTCGTTCAGACTTAAACCCTGCACTTCCAAAGCCCTAAACCGCCTGAGCACCGACCGAAACACTGAACCCCGACTCAGTAGCTCAATACGAGCTACACTTCTTCTCCGTCTCGGCACCCCGTTCCTCGGGAAACAAATGAGGAAGCGGCAGACAGATTGAACAAGACCGAGTGGGTGGGAGAGAAAGAAGCAGAGTGACAGATAACAAGACAAAGAGAGACAAATGCCAAGGAGAGGTGACAGTGACAGAGCAAGCTGGGGAAGTTGTTGTTTGTTTCTTTGCTTGTTGTTGTTTGTTCCGTGCTATTTTGCCTGCTTGTTCGCATGTGCGCCTGTGCACATCCATGCATGTGTGAATGCTTGTCTACTTTCGTGTGTGCCCGTATGTGCATGCGCATATCTTCCTGTGCATGTCGTGCACATTGGGCATTTCGAGCTCGTCATCGTCCTTGGCGTTTGGACATATCTGTCTGTATATATATATATATATATATATATATATATACACACACATACACAGTTTCAGCATGTTTATGCAGTATAGACACAGGCAGACACATGAACACGTATCTGTGTGGCTAACTATGCATGCATGCATGGCTATGTGTATATGTATATTGTATATACATACATACATACATGTACATGTAAAACTGTTTATGAGCATGAGCGTTTGTGCCTTACTAGAATCACTGTATACTAAGTACTAGTCCACCTATCCATCCATCCATCCATTCATCCATGCATTCTCCCATTCATACATACATATATGGTTCTCTCTCTCTCTCTATATATATATATATATACACACATATACACATATATATCTCTCTCTCTATATATGTGTGTGTGCATTCATGTATGCATATACATTTGTAATTTCAGATCCTCGTATTCAGTTCGGCCCTTTTCGGCAAGGGACGGGATGCTGTTGCGTGCAGTGTTAATTGGGGCAGAGCTTCCACTTTGCTCCGCTGGCGTGGGAGTTCTGAGAAGGTGGTATGTCTACCCGTCAAAGTCTGGCGTGTAGGATACTTTCGGCACCCTACACCCTACACCCCTAAGCCTCTAAATCCTAAACCCAAAGCCTCGAAACCGTCAACCCTAAACCCGCGGCATGGACTTCCAGACTCCCCCATGTAGGAGGTGTGCGCAGTCGTGCGACAGCCACAGCCCGCCAGGACCAGTGCCTAGTACTATTCCTTAGGGCCCCTGTGTTAGGGGTTTAGGACAAATCCTAGTTCTACTACTGCTTTACAGTATACCCCAAAAGCCGTGTTCTAATGGTTACGGCCTTTTACCGCTGCCCGAAACCCTATGCCTTCCAACTGGAGCCATTGTTGTATCTCCAATGGCAGCGACCGGCATCGACATGAATCTAGACTTAAAATAACGCACGAATCGAAGAGCCACAGCGGGGCGCTAGGTCAAGATGGTAGAATGCTACATATCTTCATCACAGCGCTACAGTAGAAATACCTTAGCATCGTATGGTGTAGATGGCTACTTCAGGTGCCGATATATGAGTTCCAAGGCAGGGACCTGATCCAGAAACCTTGGGCCTTCATTTGGGTTCCGTATATGAATCCTACTATTTTGTGGTTGTAGGCCCAGTGTTTCTTAGTCAGGTTCCTACATTACATTCAAAATCCTCCCAGAATCCTCCCAATTTCTAGAACCCCGACCGGACCCCCTACATCCTGCCCAAGAACACCATTTAGGTGGGCTTCTGTTTAACTCTTACCTATACGCCCCATAGTAGTGCCTTTTTGCGATTACAGGATGTTACATATGAATCCCCCAAAAGGAACTAGTATGGGGCGTGTGGGTAATCCCACCAACACTAGTAGCTTCAGACGTCAACAGGGTAGAACCGTCAAAGCGGTAGACACGAAGGATTCCGTGAGCAGGGCAAGCACGAATGCGAGTCACCGCACGCAGCGAGCATGTCTGGGACCAGGTCATAGGATTGAGGTTTAAGGGTTTAGGGTTATAGGTTTCGGGTTTAGAGTCTATAGGCTATAGGGCATATAGGCTTGACGGTTTATCTTAAGCTTTATTGTGCCGGTTTGAGGGTTTAGGGCGTCGTACTTGTTGGTTTCCAGCTTTGTAGGCTTAGGGTCAGGCCTGAGAGTTCTGGTTTCATCTGTGCCTTGCTGAAGGCAAGGCACACATTACCGCCAGTGCTGGACAAAAGTCCCACGATAGAAAGATTCAGCTCGGCTCTGCATGGCTGCAAGTGACACCGAATTCTGCTCAGATCTCGGGTAGTCTAGGAACCCGATTAAGAAACCCTGGGCCTATAACCCCAAAATAGTAGGATTCATATCAGGAACCCTAATAAAGGCCCCAGGTTTCTTAATCAGGTTCCTACATTAAAAAAGTACCCGTATTATAGATCCCTTATAGGAGCCCTTATAGACCCCTTTGAAGGAACCCTAAAAAAGGCCCAAGGTATCGGCTCCTGTGCTGCTTGTCGTGCAGTTGTGCCGGTGACACCTGAGCCTGAGCCTCCTCTGCCATTGACATCTCTGCGTCTTCGGCTCTTACAGTGGGCGAGTAAAGGTAGGACGACAGCACTTGACAAGCACCCACCCCAACCAACAGATGCACAAGCATCAAGATCGGTAGTCTTTATACCGGGTTTCGGTTCAAAACTTTTGGGGTGTCGAGTTTAGTCAAGACCGGAATGGATGTGTACGGTTTGTCGGGGCTCGCCCTCCCCCAGTTTTTCCTGCAGCCTAGGTCGCCCAATTAAAGCCAAAGTTCAATGCCATAAATACAGCCACCCACTAAACAAAAGTTTTGGGGTCCCAGATCCTCAAACCCCCATAGAACCCTTGAAAGGAACCCTTAATTAAACTCACCTTGTTGGAATCATAAGCGGCCCCTGAATTTGGGGGCAAGGGCGACCCAGGCCCGTGTTTGACGTTGCATGTTCCGACCGGAAGAGTGACGAGACTCCTCCTGACAGGCCCTCGGTGTTTCCTTTAAAGCTTCAGAGTTTAGGGTCTGGTCTTTTAGGTTTTGACGGTTCAGAGTTTAGGGTTTAGGGGTCCTTTGGGGAATTAACGGTTCAGAGTTTAGGGTTTATTGTTTAGGGGTCTTTTGAGGAGTTAACAGTTCTGAGTTTAGGTTAAGTATCGGGTATAGGGGTCTTTTGGGGATTTAGAGGTTTAGGGTTTAGGGGGTCTTTAGGGTTCCATTACTAGGTTCCTTCAAGGGTTCTTTACAGGTTTCATTTAGGCTTTAGCGCTCCTGCGCAAGGGTTCCTGTAATAGGGTCTTTAAAGGGTTTCAGTTGGTTGAAGGTTCAGGGTTGAGGGTTCCTTGGTTTTCGTTCAAGGTTTACAGTTGGGTTTAGGGTTTCCTTTGAAGGGTTATAGAATTTACATAGAGTCCTTAGAGTGGTGGTTGGATTGCAGGGTTTGGGGTCGCGATCTGTTCGGGTTGTGTGGGGGGGTTTAGGGATGTTTAGGTTTTTGGGCTTTGGTTATAGTGATTATAGTGCCCAAGGTCGGGAATTGAGGGTTTAAGATGGACATGGGAGTTTCAAAGAAGATGATAGCCCCCCTCAAAAAAGTAAGAGCCTCCCTATCAGCGCTCGGAAAGCGGCCTTCAAAGAGCAACCTAAACTTAACCCTAAAGCCTCAACCCTACAGCCTCAACCCGCGCTATATTCCCTAAACCCCAGCCCAGTTTGGAACGGATGCGTCGATCCCCAAAAACCCTGCCAGAGCCTCAACGTCCTAACAAGACCTCAAACAGTCCAAGCCTTGCCGACACTCCTAAGCAGCTACAGCTATACTGTTGCAACAGGGATCTATGGATCTCGAACATCCTATGCATGCCTGTCCAGAAGTAGGATCTTCGCACAGTGCCCGATACCAAAAGCCCCAAGCTCAACAACATGAATTCCGACACTCTAAATGAAGCTTCAAACCCCTAGCCGTACGATCCTTCAGCCAAAGGGGACCCAACTCCTGTTCAAGCTTTCGGGAGAGGCCATGGACTCGCGCAGCAAAGAAGAACGTGATGCCGGGAGCTGAGATTTGTGGTCGTTTTGCTTCACGGCCGTGTTTCTCTATGAACAGCACTACTTACAAGAAGGGTTCGGATCTGTTTCTATCTCTCTCTGTCACACTGTTAGTTTCTGGCTCGGCTTGCTCTCTGCTCATTCGAGATCTTGGCGGTCAAATGCATGGTGCTGTTCGATATTGCGGCCCATTGTTGGTACCACAGGTTGCCAGATATTCGTACGAGTCTCTCCACTTGCAGCAGTATACAGGGCTTAGGGGTTTTCCGTACGCAGCCATCAGCCGAGCTTCAATCCCAGCACCCGACAGCCCAGGCGACCCTAGTGCCGACTTTCATGGTCATCCGACTTCCGGTAGTCCTTCAGAAAGCTGTGCCATGTGAGGTCACCGGGGGTGGTCGAACCCTGGACAAAAGCCTACGATACCGCCTCCACACTGCTCTTTGACATAGCCTTAGCGTCACGGGCCCTAACAAAACACATCCATTCTTCCAGGGTTCAGGGTTTAGGGAAATCCCAAAGCTACCCCCCCTCCCTCCCTCCCCCCGCCCCCTGTCCAAGACTAGCGCAGCAGCCTTTGCTAAGGACAGGGGGCGGGGTACCACCCTTGCTCATGACCCCGAGAAGGCTCTTGGAGGGAACTTAGTATTAGTTAGGCTCAGATAAATGTTAGGGGTTTAGGGGTTTAGGGTTTAATGAAAGGTCTTCTTTATTTTTTCGTTTCTTGGTATTGGGTGCCGGATGGTTTTACACAAGTTTAGAAGGTTAATGAATGATTGACGTCGCTTCTGGCCCCTACATTGCGCGGCGTACCATGCCCATGCCAAATGTTCCGGAGCAAGGATACACACATTCTGCATCATGTGCTCGTGACTTGCGCCTTAAGGAGCCTACAACCCAAGAGCCATTATCCTCAGCGCTCCACACTTTGCCAATGCTACAATTTACTCGCCCAAACCCTGTTCTAGTGATTAAGTCTCCCACGCCCTTATTACCCAACCGATATAGAACCCCCGGAAGGAAGCTTAATGGAACCGCTGCAGGAACCCCATTCTAATCATTTGTGTTCCTTTTTTCAAATCCAAATACACAACCCTGGCTCCTCCAATATTACACCCGGACACCTGGACCCTAAACCTCAACCTCTAAACCCAAAGCCTTAAACCTAAACCCCTAAACCCTAAACTGCCTAAACCCCTCAACCCCTCAACATCTGCACCCCAAAGTAAACCCCTAAACCTTGGAACGTGAGGCCGCCGAGAAAGCAGCTCTTGAGGCAGCCTTCGATCAGGCCAGGAGCTGTTGCGCGGGAGTTTAGGGGGGGTTTAGGTGTTCAGGGCTTCGGGGGTTTTCGGGGTTTGGGGTTTGGGGGTTTAGGCGGTGTTTAGGGGTCAGGGTATTTGGGGAGTTTTGGAGTTTTGGGGTTTTGGGGGTTTACAGGTTTGGGCAGGGGGGCTTTTGGGTTTACTCTCGTCTTCTTGGGACTTAGTTCTTGTTGAATTCCAGGTCCTAGGTTTAATTATAGATACCCATTTCAAGTATGGGGTTGCAGGTTGCGGGAGGGTTTAAGGTCTAGGGTTTAGTGTGTCCAGTTGAAATGGCTTCTATACATTGGTGATATGAATTGTCGGTAAGGGTCCTATAAGCGTGCAGGTTCAGGGGCTCGCTTGAGTGGAGGGTTTCTGGGTTAGGGTTCCGTGACTTGGGCTTTGGAGTTTAAGCCAGAAGGCCCAAACGCTAAACAGCAGTTGTTTTTGTTTGAGGGAGGTTAGGCTCCAGCGCTTGGGATAGAGCCTCGACATTCAAAGTTGGTTTGCCGAAAGCCTTGCAGGCAATATGGGAGTTTCCGAGAATTTGGGGTAGCTTGTTTTGGGGTCCTTACTACCAGTATTACTTAGGGTACTATATTAGGGTCCCCTAGTTTCGGAAACATCCATATGTTCTTCGTGCACTCTGCCCTCAATTCGAGACCATGTGGCCTGCCAAGGCCAACTCGCTGACGACTGTAAGATGTCAGAGGATGTTCGCACTTCACAGGGTTTAGGGTTTAGGGTTTAGGGTTAAGGGTTTAGGGTTTAGGGTTTAGGGTGGAGAACCGTGAGGGTGAAGTTAAGAAGAGACCCTGGAGAAAAAGACAGACAAGGAGGAAAACAACTCGCTGAACAGTGCCAGCTGTATCATGTTTGGGGCTCAGGTTTGAGGGTGCTCTTGGCTGAAGACCTGACGAAACGCGTTGGATGGCAAACGGAGCATCGCGGCTTCAGTGTGAAATCGCAACAACCAGAAGCAGAGGTGCGCGTCGACACAGCTATAGAGGCAGTGCAAAAAGTCAGCGGCGAGATTGTTACTTAGGGACGAAGTGACTGCCGACATCAAGGAAGACATCGCGCTTCGAATGCAGATGATATCGACGAAAGTATTGTGGCGACGAGGGTCACCGGTGAGATCCTGAAGAGTGGGCCATTACTGGGAATCCAGCCAAACCCTGCATTTGGCCTCATCGTAGTTCCTGGTTTTGGTCACCTTGTCGTCTTACCAAAACCGGATAGCCAAAATGAGGAAGCAGATTGGAGGCTCTAGGTGGAGCCCGAAACCTCAAACGCCAAACTCCGGAGTCGGAGTTCCGAAACCCAAAACTCGAAACCCCAAAACCCAACCCCCCCAGACACAAGAACGCAAGCTCCGACCCCACATCCCTAACTTCAGACAATAGCCCAAACGGCCCTTGTCCTTCAGATCGAGAGACTTCGGGACCTGATATAGATCTCAGAATAGGATCCATACTCTACGGCACTCTATCGTTCCGGCGCTCTAAGCAGCCTTAAACTTCGAACATGACATGATTTTTTGCTTGTAGTGACGTTCCCCTAATTTTTTGACACCCCGACTCAAGCCAGGCCCTAAAAGCTCTGATTCCAAGAGCGCCCAAAAAACCCGCAAACCACAAAACACTCCTGAACCCCTAAACCCTAAACCCCCAACCCCTAAACCCTAAACCCCAAACCCTAAACCGCCAACCCTCAAACCCTAAACCCCAAACCCTCAAACCCTAAACCCCTAAACCCTGAGACCAGGTGATGAAGGCTCAGGGCCAACCTCTCCCAGCACCTCAGCCTCAGCCGCCGCTGGCTGACGAGCAGAGGACTCCTCTTTGGGTTACTAGACTTGGAGGTTCATGGGTAGTGATAAGGGTTCCGATAAGGGTCCCTTTAAAGGGATCTGCAGGGATTCTATAAGGGTATAGGGTTTAGGGTTCAGGGGTATAGTTGGATGCCTTATTGTAGTCATAGTATACTACATATTTTGGGGGGTTCCCTTATTATAAGTTAAAGTATCCTATACTCCCAAAACCAAAAGACACATAAGCATAAGCATTTTTGTGGGGATATCCCTACCTTACTAATGGGCTTCTTTATAAGGGGTTTATATATGGGATGTCCCTATCCTCATTTTTGCTTACGTGCTTCTTCTAGGCCCTCTTTCGGGGCCGAAAATAGTTGCCAGCACTATTCTGAGGGCTCCTTCTTCTAATTATGGTATTAATGGGTCCCAAACCCCCTTCTAATTACAGGCTATTCAGGCCCCCCATATTAGAGCTTGGGTTGGAGGATCTTGCCGAGGTACGGGTTGAGGGTCAAGGTAATGTAGCTTACAGAAAGAAAATAAGGGCTTCTGTGGTGGTTTAGGGTGTATCAGGGCTTCTCGGTTCTTGAGATATGCTTGAGGGTTAAGTTATTTTGCGTGTAAGGGTTTTGGGTTCGGGATTTATGCAAATCGAGCAGGGTGTAGAGTTGGCGCAGGCTTCACAAGGTGTCGTACTCGTGGACATCAGCTGAGCCCCAGTGAAGGATCTTGACGACTCGACGACACATATTGCTTCTTCACACGGGGTATGGCATCGCCCCAAGCGAATTAACAGTGCTAGCAAGAAGCTTGCGTCCTGCCCCGACCCTGAGCACAGTTCTGGTGCAGTAGTACTGGCGCCTTGGCTTTGCGTTGTGAATCAGGGGAACTTGTTGTTTCTTAAGTCCTCCCTCCCTAAGCTATGAAGCTTCTGTGCTACAATTCAAACACATGGCCGTTGGTGTCTCTATCAGCAAGTAAATGACTCGTGAAGTTTCTTACTTCTGCTGCCTTGGGCAGTAAGCCTTAAGCCGTAAGCCCTTAGACCCCCAAACCTAAGCGCTCTAGAAGCTTAACCAGAAACCCCCTACAACCTGAACCCTATGAACCTTAGGGCCTTAGGGGTACTTAGCTAGGTTATTATAATCCCTAAGAAACAGCTAAAATTGTAATTCTTGCTAGGGTTTTATGTTCTGTATAGAAACCCTCAGGCAGTCGGTGAGGGTCTTTTCCTTCACCGGCGCCGCTGCAGCGGACCCGAACGCCGGCGCGCTGCAGGCTGCAAACAGGATACCTGCACCCCAGGACGTTCAGGGCATAGCGGGTTCTTGATGGGTTCAGGGCTTTTGTAAATTATAAGGTAGTAGCCTTGCTCGGGGTGCATATCCCTCCGATCTCTGGTTGGTTGAGATGACACGAACAAGGTTTACGGGAATCATCTTGTCTCCTTTTTCTATATCCCAGCGGTCGCCATTATCCATGTGTCATGTGCGGATCGCAGAACGTGACCATGGGCATAGAATATGATTGAGACCGTGATAGCATGAGACCATGGTTTTTACATACTAGCGCCAGTCTCTGACCTTCATCGAATCAGTTCATAGACGATTGAAGTTCGTGTCACTGTAGTAACTACGCATAACATGACAAAGTCTGATTCTCCGCGAGAGGTTGATCGGCTTTCTGTGTTGGCGGGTTTCTGTGTTTTGATGGCGTCGACAGCCGCAATAGCAACATCTCAAATCCTCACAAACTCCTTTATATCTTGTGCCACCCGAGGGGTTGGGGGTGTGCATGATGCTGACTGTTGGCTTTTGTGTTGTTGCCATGTTTCGACAATCGCATTACAGTCACGACAACAATAGTACTAGTAATAGTAATTATTAGTAATAATGTTCATAAGGCTTCCAGATATATGACTCTCATCATCACCGCCATGACTGGCTCCATGCCAGCAGTTCTTGCTTTCAATAGCTGTGATCAAGCTTGTATCTACTCAGAGACGTACCATCAATCTGAGTCGTCGGCTTAGGACTTCCCAGCTGCCGGTGGCACTGGCAGCATACTTGAATGAGTCCAGTACCCTCAAGCCACCTCCCTACAAACACTAAACCCTCCCGAAACCCCAAACCCTGAACCCCCATAAACCCGAAACCTCACGACTTCCACTCCTTCGATTTCCGATTGTAGTATTTTGGTATATACTGCTAATATGATATGTGCTCTCCGTAGGTTGCAACATAGTAGAATAGTGTCGTACATAGCGGGGTATAGTATGGTATAGTAGAGTATGGCAGCTTATAGTGTAGTGTAGCCTAGTCTAGTATAGTATAGTAGAGCATGGGAAAGTATAGTACCGTGTCATTTTATATGAGGTATGATCTAGTTAGTATAGCACCTAATTCACCTAAACCAAACATGACCCCTGCGGCAGGAAATCGATGAAGTCGAGGCGGCATCGCCAGCGTTTGGTCGGCCGATGGTACCGGCCACTTCGTCAAAGAGCTCCACGGGTAGATAAGAGCCCTTGCGTAAGGGATCCTGTAATAAGCCTTCATGCTTTATCCGACCTACCTTCATCCCAACTTTTGAGGCCTCCGACTTAGGCGATTTGAGAGGGAGGGTAGCAGTGCCGCTTTCGGGCTTCTCCTGTTTGCAGTTCTTACCGTTGGTTAGTAGGGAATGGAAGAATGGTAGTAATGGTAGTTATGCTTATACCCCATTCCTCCATTCCTACTAACCCGGTAAGAGTTGGGGCTTGAGGGTTTAGGATCGAGGCTTTAGGTTTTCAAGCGATTCGCGACCTAAGACCGCAAGAGGTTTCGGTGTTTCGGGGGTGAGTATGTTTCGGGGCTTCGGGTGTAATACAGAGGTCTGAAAAGCTACGATAACCACACGGTGGGCCTTGTAGTCCTAAAAAACGTATACAGAAGATACTCCCAATCGGTCGCTTCCCAATTGCAGTTTCTGGGGGCAGGCCTCTTTTTCGTAAGGGGCAGGGGATAGCTTGCGATTACATGGCTGACTGGCCAGAAGCAGTATTCCTTGGTGTTCCTCACGAGGAACCCAAGACCCTGAACGCTAAACCGAAACCCTAAACCAATCATCTTCACTCCATGTATTAGGGTGTCATTTCGGCCAAAAGACCGAGACCTCCCACTCTGTTTCCAGTAGTTTGACTATTAGCATTTGCACTAGCATAACCGTACTACTGTTGATGATATACATCTTGCATTGCCCATAAGAAGGAATATACCAATGTTCCCGTATAGTTCAGGGTGCTTAAGGTAATGCAGGATGTATATCATCAGCCGTAGCAATTGTTAGTTTTGGTATTGGTACTTGTTTCATACTACTACTGCCATTCATCCTCCAGCATCCTGAAGCCTCTGCTCATTGCCACTTCACCACCGGAGCCTTGCACTTGCCCAAGATCAAAAAGCTGCTTCTCTGAAGGGACACTTCTCTGTAAGGGCAGCTTTTGCAGGTTCAGGCTCGAAAACTTGGACAAAGAAGCTCCGCACCTTTCTCTCACTGAACCTTACACCGAATATAATCTAACGGAGCGAATCCGAAATACAGGGAAAGCATGGCCTTCCGGGTCGATCCAAGACTAGTTCTAGGTATGAGGCCTAGTGCCTAAGTGCTTATGTCGCGGGCATGGTTTGGGTCATAGGTCTTGAGGTTCACAAGGTGTAGGTCTTCGGACTGATAAACCTTGTGGAGCCTCCATGAACTGCACTCCCGCCTTGAGTCCGTCCTAGAGATGGGATACCCGGCCCAGGTTTTATGTCCAGCCAGCGAAGCTGCAGGGTGTAAGAGTAAGAACTCTTGTATCAATACTCAAAGCGGCTAAAGCGGGCACAAACACTCTTAAAATGGAGACAAGGGACTGAATCTCGGACTATGCTGATGCAAATAGCAAGGTTTCGGGTAGGGTTTAGGGATTCGGATTCAGGGTTAGGGTTTTGAGGTGGAGACTGAAACTGCAGGCTATGGCGCAGACGTCGCAGCCCGGCCCGTCGATGGCACAACCCATGGCACAGTCCATGACGCCGTCCATGGCGCAGCCCAAGGCCGCCCCATGTGCAGGTGTCGTTGACGTGTTAGGGAGTGCGCAAAGGCTTGCAACTGTTGGAGGTTCATGGGCAGTTATATGTGGGGTTATAAGTAGGGCAACTATACTTATAACTTATGACTCATATTGGGGGACTTATAACTTATAACCCTACTTATAACTACCCTTGAACCTCCAAGCTTTCCTGCCACTTTTCCAAGATCCTACAAGGCTTTCTAGATTCGAGAGTTGAACACGATCCCACAGTTAATCTCTAAATGTTCCAAAAGCTTGCTCTACAGCAAGCATTCCATAACTGGCCACCGAGCTCTCGCTACAAAGTAGCAACACCAAAACGCTTCTGTGCGCGCAGCGATACACGTATACCTGTGCGGCTACCGGGCAAGACGGAGAGCGCATGATGCTGGCGTGGCAGCCTGTCAAGTTTTAGACACCGGCGGCTGACTGCCAAAATCGACAGAATCCTCAAGTCTACACCTGGATCTCAAACCAGCACCTTCAAGAGGCCGTCGTAAATGCCATCCCAGAAATTAAGCTCGTATCACACACCCTCGACCCGCAATCTTGGCAATAAGATGGAGGCGATGACGCAACCTGGCACCATGTCAATGCAGACGCAATGGCAGCCTTCACAGTCCACGTCGATGTCCGTGCGTGGCACCGGCACGTGATTGCCATATTCAGGCTTCAGGGTGTGTGGTGCTGGCTTCGGCAGATGCAGTATCGACAAAGATGTTGGTGACGAGGATGGTGCCTGAGATTGATGTCTGGTCACTTCTCAGAGGTTTTATTCACAATGGTCTTCATACTGTTTTGTTGCATTGTGCAAAGATACTTCAGCGAATCCTGCTGGAGTGCAGTGCAATGATCGCAACATGCGACGTGGTGGAAGGGCCTCTGAGTTTCGGTGCCAGAGTCCGGCTTTTGGTATATGTTAGTGATGCTGTGTTTGGGAGTTCCGGCAATCTATCCTGAACCAAAAGCCTATACAGCCCCTTGCATGCCCGAAGCACTGAACTCTAAATCCTAAGCCCCAACCTTATCCTAAGACGGGTAGCCCGGATCCCAAGAGATGCTAAGATAATATTATCCCTAACATCCCCTATGCAGTCAAAACCCCCGTGCTTTGAGCTCCTGTTTCATCGTGGATTTAGGGTTTAGGGTTCAGGGGTTGAGGGTTTAGGGGACGCGATACAGAAATCCTTTTGGTGGCAGAGCGCCCGCCCCAAGACCACTGAACCTAAAGTCTAAACCGGAAACCCACAAACCCGCAACAAGCTTCAAAGTAGGGTTGAAGAAGCACAACCCCTTAAGCTTAGGCTTCGGTCGGGTCGAACTGTTGCATCCTATACCCTTTCAACACGCTTAAATCCGCATTAATCAACCCTTTCACCCCATGATCTCCTTTCAGTCCCTTTAAGGTTCAGGGCTTACCTAATCCCTAAACCCTAAACCTTCACACCCCGAAATCTATACCCCGAAACCCGAAAACACTGCTCAAGACACCATCAAGCGGCGTGAACAATCGCCAACATTGTCCCTCGGCACTACTATACTCCGAAGCTGATTTCTATATGTTAAGGACTCTAAGTTAATTCGCGAGCAGAGGTCCCATGTCGGCGTCCCGTGGAGGAACTGTCGAGGCTGCTTTCGAAAGATGGGACGACAGGGGTGCTTTATGTTCAGGCTTCACGGCTTATAGGGTGTATAGAATCTACAGGGTTTGGGGTTTAGGGTCTAGTCGTTTGGGGTGTAGGGTGTCATGCTATGAACGTACTGTACTGTACGTAGCTGTGTATGTTAGTGTGTATACAGAGACAAAGGGGACTAGAATGAGCATGCACTTGTAGCTGGTGCACCTTAGCCTGCGTCTTTGTACTGTGTTGCATGGTGATCTTCCGGGCGCCCAACACGGCTTGACTAAATCGAGTCATACAATCTTGCCCTAAACCGCCTAAGCCCTTAAACCCGAAAACTGCGATCTTACAGACGGGCCAGGAAGGGCTTCGCTGATTTTTCCTAAAAGCCCGGTCGAAGTTGCCCTGCCGGGTCGGGTCGGCCCTATTTCCCAGGCTTAAGGGGCGCAGGAGACTTTAGCACTGGGAGAGAGGATCTTCTTGCAAACATACATATCAACTATATGACCAGACAAAGGAAGTTTAGCCAATGTTGTAATGTTGCTTAAGTCTGACTTTTGAGCTATATCCATATCAGTCATTTCATGTGTTCTAGGTTTTTTCTCAGTTCGAAGATCAACCCCAAAGACGGGCCAGGCAAGGGCGAGGCTGTTCCGCATAAAAGCAGCTCCTTCGGACCCAAGGCCTGCATCCTACAACTAGACCCTCAACTAGGTAGGGCTTTGGGACATATTAAATTTTCCCTTATTGGGCTTAAGAGGATCTTATTTACTAATATTCTTCAAAGGCTTTAAAAGCCCCACCTAGTCAACTCTGTACTAAACCCTAAACCTCCAAAGTAGTTCCTTTTTGAGGTTCGTATATAGAATCCTATAAGGTAATCCCCAAAAGGAACTACTTTGGGGCCTATGGGTAAACCCTAAACCCCCAACCCCCAAAATCCCTAGACCCGAAACCCTGAGCCTCAAGACGCAAACGTTGAATGCCTTCGGCCACAGCCCGAAAGCTCGAGCTGAGAGGACAGATTGCAGCACATGGAGGAGATGATGTTCAGGCTGGAACGACAGGTAGAGTATACTGTGCGTACATAGTCCAAAACAAAGCGAAAATGTCTATATATTTATCTTTATATATATATATATATATATACGTACAGGTTTATAAGCATATGTGTGTATGTGTGTATATAACATACTTGTATATATATATATATATACATACATATACATACATGTTATACATAGACAGACAGCATGACCTGCAGGGACGGTGAGAGACGGCAGCCGCTTTCAGGGTTAAGGCTTACTGGGCTTAGTACTTGAGTTGCAGCATGCCGGCGGTTTGCAGCTTTGGCGGTGTACGGTTTAAGGTTTTTGTTTCAGGGCTGGGGTTTATAGGGCATGATGGGCTCTAAGAGTTGCGATATATTTTTGCTTTCTAGGTACCAACACATCGTTGAAACGCTCCATTGTCTTCAGGGGCGGACAAGCTAGCCTCAACTTGCCTTTGGTTAGTAGGGAATGGAGGAAAGAGGGTACAATTATAACTACTATTACTAGCATTCTTCCATTCCCTACTAACCAAAGGTAAGTCAAGCACGGCCTATTGTCCTCCATGTCCAACATTTGCAACTTGCGGTGTTCTTACATGGGAGCCTGTTTCTTAAAGTTCAGACTTTATGGGGCTGTACGAGAGGGGCTATCAAGCAACCAGAGAACGATCGCTGCTCGAGTCTCTGACATTTGTACTGTAAAGGCCTGGATAATTACCAGTACTATGTTTTGGACGTTCCTTATTTTAGGTAGAGTATAGTATGCCCCAAAGCCCTATTCTAAGTATTAAGGCCCCTATGTGAATCTTGCCGTCCACCTGGAGGACGAAGCTCCGGCTCCGCGTTGTTAGATTTGGTTCCTGAGTAGTACCCTTTTGCCCCTTTTGTTTTAGGGTCTCCCTGAAGAAGACTGAATATTAGGAAAAGAGGTACCCTTATTATGAAGGGGCTACCCAGGAACCCAGTAGATGCAGGGTTTGCAGAATTTCTGATGATCACTGGAAGCTTAAGCGGAGATTCTTACACCCTGAAGTCCTTCGGGCCTATAAACTCTAGACCTAGACTCCTAGACTTTCCACTCTAAACCAGAATCCTAAACTCCTACCTGCAAGCTCACGCCACAAATCCACGAACATCCAAAAACGCGTTGGAAGCCACACTGAGCAGTTCAGCAGTACCTTTTTGTTTGAGGATCCTTTTTTGACAATAACGGTGCCCTTGTGGTGTTAAGGGGTTTTATGAGAGACACAGCGAAGGTTCCACGAGATTCAAATGCGGCGACAACAGGAGGTCGAGGCTGAGTGCTCGAATTGCCTTTGGTATTTAGGGTTGGGGCGTTGGGAGGAGGGGGGGGATCGATTTCGGATCTTTACTGCTGTGCAAGTCTGAAAATTACGACCACTGTTGCTCAGTGTTCCCGAATTGCATGAGTATTCCCCCCAAACCATATTCCACTTATATGTTCATGCAATTATATTGACTTCGGGTTTGGGATTCAAGGTTCCGTGGACTTGCGCCGTTCGAGGCCTTGGTTATGTCTGGCTGCCTGTAGAGGTTGCCCATAGGCCCCATAGTATCTCAGGGTTCATATTTAGAATCCTATACAGTAGAAGCCCAAAAGTTGGAGACTCAATAGCCTCGATCCTGAAGATCAACAGAGATAGAGGAAATCCCAGCACTATTTGGCCTTAATCCGGTTTCCGACTTTACTATAAGGTGATCCCAAAAAGGAGCTACTCTGGGGCCTATGGGTAGGGTTTAACCCGAAGCTCTCGCCTGAGTTCTGCAGCTGCGAGTGTTCTTCTTGTTTGGCCAGAGAATCTGTAGGGGTTTAGGGATTTAGGGGTTTAGGGGTGCAGGGTTTCGGGCTTTAGGAGTTTAGGGGTTAGGGGTTTATAGGGTTTAGGGATTCAGGGGGTTTAGGGTTCAGGGGCTTAGGGTTTACTTAGGGTTTAGGGTTTAGGTCTGCTGCTTGCAAACACTGCTCGGACCCCCTACCTCGGCCTTTAAATACCTCCATTGTACCTAAATATACCTGTCTCGGCAATGGGCCCACTAACTCTCTCCTTTTAACCTAGCCTGAATCGCCAAGTTCACAAACTACTCGCGAACTTGTTTGCCGAGCTATTTGAATTCATAATCAGGGACCCAGAATTGATTCAGAAATTAAGAGCTTCGGGACCCAAATCATGGACTTCGCGTTGTAGGCCCCCAGGATCCCAAGGAGTGGTTCCCAGGATCCCCCTAGCTGGCTACTGGCGTCTACTTTCAACGCACCGACTGAATATCCCAGAGACTCCAATATCCCTTCATTAAGGACGATACCTTCAATCTCATTAGGGATCCTATATACTATAGTTTAAGGTATATTCCTTGATTGCGGGACATTGGAGTCTCTGGGATCTTGCCACCCACTTATCAGCCCATGCCGTGGGCCAGGCCTATGTTATCTCCTGTCTTGGCTAACCTACTTGATGAGGGTAGTTGCCAAGATTTAGGTCCCTGTTTGGGTACCCTAAATTTTAGTTGCCGTATTAGAACAGGGATCCAAAAAGAAACCATAATTTTGGCAACCACCCATGTACCAGCAGCATTGCTTTGCAATGCTCGGGTATTTTACTAAACCTAATCCCCTCGTTTAAGCCAAGTTTCTTCTCAAGGCGAGCATCGGCTCGATGTTTCAGGAGGCAAGCAGTTTCTGTCAGTGAATGTTAGCCATGAATTCCATGTATTCCTGCGAGGTGGGGTTCAGTTTGATAAGTATAGTTATACCCCCCTATCATGTCGTAGTATAGCTAGTTGGGAAATACACTGTCAAATGAAGAATTAGCAATGGTAGGTCTCGTAAGTGTTAGTACTGATATTTCACTTTGCATTCTAGGCATTCGTAATCTCGTCCGAACTACTATGGCTAAGACCTCTCGCTTCGATATAGATTTGAAGTTGTAGAGGGTAATTAAGGATTTTGTGTATACCAGCCTTCGTGCGAGATGCATGGCTTTGCGATTGTAGGGCCCCCATAGTAGTTCCTTCTGGGGGTTACCTTATGGGCTTCTCAATACGAACCGCAAAAGATAGTAGTTCCTTTTTGGGGTTACCTTCTGGGATTCTCAATATGAGCCGCAAAAAGGAACTACTATGGGGCCTGCGGGTACTTAACTAAAGCCCGAACGCAGCCGCGCCTCTCGGCTAAGAGGCCAGAGACACATCGCTGAGCTCCGAGCCCACTAGCCTCGAAAGTGAAGCATCTTCGTTTGGGGGTTTTGGATTGCAGAGCCTTTGTTGCCCAATCCTTGATATTAAGCGCAGGTTGGCCTGTTTGACTGCCCTGAGCACATGTAGTTGCGAGTCCGGGGTCAAGAGCACTAAAGCCTTGCAGCAGCTTTGAAGTATGGCTCCAGATAGACTTGGCAGCACAGGCCACGCAGGCCATGATTCCGCAGCTTGCCGGGCGCCACAGCTAAGGGCTTGAGGATTCTGGCTTGCATGGTCGGGTCGGCTTGACCGTCATAGTCTGCGAAACGTGTGCCTCTCAGTTTGCTGCGCAAGGGTTTGAAGCTATCATTGTTTACAAAGCTCGCACGGAAAGTTCCATTCCAGATGCCATGTCAGTTCTTGCAAAAAGGCAGGCGTCGCAGCAGGTCTCGTTGGTAGTTTGTAGTCTATAAGACTAGTGCAGAGTTTTAGGATCCTAAGCACCGCAAATGCCTCCTTACCCCTGAACCCAGAAACCCTACTCAAATCGTACTGAGTCGTACTGTAGCCCCGCAGCCTGTGGGCACCTAAACGAGGTAGCCCTTGATTAAGCCCTTTCACGATTCCCGTATGTAAACCCTTACAAAGTTCTGTGCAGTTTCCTGGAACCCTCTCAAAACCCTGCATGAGCAAGAAGAAGAAAGACACATACACTGACACACACACACACACACACCCACCCACCCACACATACAGACTTTTTACATCCCTCACAAACACTGTCAACATCCTTCAGGACACACCTCTCAGATCTTTTGCTTCAAACCACACAAAACCTTGAATCAGTGCTTAGAAGAACCCTTAAAACGGCCATGCCATCTCCCGGTTTATGAAGCCCTTACGCAGTTCAGTTGAGGTCGACCACATGATCGAGAGGCTGGCGCAAGCCATGGATTTCTCGGAGTTGAGAGACCAGCAGCTCGACTGAAGGGGTGTGTAATTATCGTGAACCCCAGAAAGTTGGAACATAGATTTGGGATGATTAGTGCTGGGATACCCTATACTTTACCTTAAGGGCATGAGGATAATCATGTTCCAGGTTCGTGGCTACTATATACCATCGCAGTGGAGTTTACGATTTGGATTTGGGGCGGCCTCTCAAGGCTTTGTTGTGTTTTATTGCTTGAGTTCAGGGCTTAGGGGTCTAGGGTTTAGGTCTGAGGGTTCAGTGTTTAGGGTTTAGGGTCTGGCATTGAGGGTTGCTTTTTAGTCGTAGTGCTTGTGTTGGGCTGTGTTGGGCTGCTGGAGCTACACGCTGGTCCTTTGACCCTCTGCAGAGCCACGCCTCCCAAGCCCAAGGGCACATGCACCTGCGCTCACACACCATTTTAGGATTTAATTTAGGTGTTTGGGTTGATTGCTTGGTCTAGGGCGTCTAGCACCCTAAACCTCAAACCCTATACCGCACCTAGGGCTTTAGGGTTCAGGGTTTCGGTTTTCCGGCTGCCTCTGATGCTGACTTGTCGGGTCCTGACTCCTGAATCCTCGAGCCCTTGAAGCTATCGGCCCCAACGAACGAAACAAGCGCCGCAGCCTACAAGCGAAGAAACCTGCTTTCCGGCACTAACCAACAGAAGCCCCGACCCTACAACCTCAACCCCGACACCCTAAAGCCCTAAACCCTAAATCCCCAAACCCCCCTAAACCCCTACACCCTAAAGCCCTCCACCCTTCACCTTAAACCCCCCAGCCCTAAACCCTAAACACCTAAACCCCTAAACCCTCAACCTCTTTAAATCCTTAAACCCTTCCAATGTCTCCCTGCCCTCAGAGCTTCGATCCTCGCCGAGGCTGATCGAGTCATTCAGTGCAGTGGTGGACGAAAGGTCTGAGGCCAGAGCTACAGTTTAGGGTTTAGGATTGAGGGTTTAGGATTTAGGTCAAGGATTTAGGGTTAGTTAGGGTTTAGGATTTAGGGTTTAGGACTCAGGGCTTAGGGTTGAAGTGCCGCTGGTAACGAGGGATCGGATCTTGAGCTTTGGGGTTCTGGGGCTATAGCTAGGGTTGGAGTTTCTCTGCAGGTCCATGTGGATGGTTGTCAAAACTATGGTACCTTTTTGGGTCCTTAATATAATACGGCACCGAATATTTAGGGTACCCCAAAATGGACCATAATTTTGACAAGCACCCATGTGCGTCTCCGGCATAAAGGGCTTCCGAAGGTCGTCCTGTCTGCTCACGAAGATCAGAGTTGGGGCGCCCCACACCGCGGGATTCTCTGAAAAGGCGCTTTCTCGGAGGCTTCAAGAGCCAACCTGAAAAGCGGTAGCCTCCATCCTACAATATCAATGTGCCCAAACCAATCTTGGGCTTCAAGTTCTGGGGTTTTGGGTTTAAGATTTAGAGTTTAGGGTTCAGGCTTTTACAAGCCCAAAGGGTCCAAGAATCATTATGGCATATACTTATAGTGCATTGGGGGGGTCTAAGTATATACCAGAATGATACTTGGACCCTTTGGGAAGGCTTAAGTTTAGTATCGGGTTAAGAGGCTTATCCTTAACGCGGCAATCCTAAACCGCCTACCCTCCAAGCCACCTTGACTCGTACGCGAGCTTTCGCAGACCATCCTTACATCGATTGGGGAGACGTCCGTGGCCCGACACTGAGAGGGATGAGCACCGTTGGACCAGAGGACTACCGCCGAAGGTTTAGAGAGCAAGGCTGTTCAGTCAAGTTGTCACGTCACCATTATTGCACTCGTTTGGTTTTCAACTGCATCTATCCCTTGTGCCTTTGCAGTGGTCTGGCTTCCGTTTTCAGGACTTCGGTGTTTCGATTGCGGACCCTGAATTCTTGGCCTTATGGCCAGGTCTGAACAACTAGTCGATAGTATCCCCTTCACAGTTCCCATGTAGCTATAGCAGGCCCTAGAAGATCTTGGGATGCTTGTATAGAGCCATGAAAATGAGCAATAGTAGTTCCTCTGCCTGTTCATAAAAAATAGTTTGTAATCTGCTTCAACATGCTGCTCTAAGCGATTTCTAGACATTCGCGCCCGCACTGTTTGTCCTCGACCAGCAGGTACCACAGTGCAGAGTTTAGGCTATTGCAGGGTTTCAGTGGGCCGTTCCGTGTCGAACGGCCGTAATGGCGGATGGAAGCCCAATGACGGCAGTCACCACCCACAACCCCGAATATGGGAGATTCAAAGCATAAACGAAAAAAGATAGCCTCCTAGCAGTAGGATCCATCTGTTGGAGACTAATTAGAGACGCCCCAGATCACGTCGATCTTATCATAGGGGCCAGCAGAGTACGATCTGGCAAGAGGTGCAGAAGTCGATCTTTTCTGATGTCTCGCGACTGGCCAGATTCCCAGTTGCTGTGGGCATGCGAGTGTGGGATTGAGGTTGCGAGGAATAGTAAAGTCTATGTTGAGTCGTAGCCGTCTGACACGGAGGGAAACGACAGTGAGCTGTGTAGAGTTTGCTTGTTGTGTTGCGAAATTGGCGAAGCATCGGAAGTGTCGTGCGGTCCCCGACGAAGTAAGGTTGATTAGTAGCACTGGGATTCTCTACGTCCAGTTGTGGGGATCCTCCAGGCAGCTTTCATAGCTGCCATATGATATATTTATATACATACGCATTATATCTCATGAGTATACATAATATACCATTCAGCCACCAAAACCATAAAACACTATGCACTTTTTGCCACAGGCAAACTTCAAAGTTGAGAAGTCTCTTCTCAATCAAAGTCAGCACTGAAGCCCATGTGCATACCGAAAGCAGCCCTCAACCCCTCAACCCTACACCCCAAACGCCTAAACCCTAAACCCTTGCTGCACACTTTCAGAAAACCACACGCCAAAGCCACCTCAACACCAGTCATAGAGCTCTTCGGAGATCGAACATCCCGACAGCATGCAGGGCAACAAGCTTGACTCCACGGTCTGAACCTCAGTCCTTTGGCATTCTCAGGTTCTGAGATTGGGGGCTTCATAGGCTTATGCGACATGGTGGCTGCTAGTCCTGAAAGCACTTGTAGCAAACATCGGAAAAGATCTGGTTGTTCCGTTTGTTTTTTCTGATGCGTGGCAGTGGCAGCTTTCAAAACCGGGTCTAAGGTTTCGGTTTTGAAGTTCTTGTACTTGGAGGTTCATGGGTAGTTATACATAGGGTTATACGTCCCCTAATATGAGTTATAGGTATAGTTACCCTACTTGTAACCCCGCCTATAACTACCTATGAACCTCCAAGTAGGAACCGCCGGAATTGGATCCAGTACGTAGTGGGTTTCGGACTCGAGGTTTCGTGACCTCCGGAGGTTTCTGATGCCGGGCTTTGGAGTACAATACTTTAATACTGCTTTCTTGAAGGAGACATTATGAAGTATAAGTGTATACTGTTTTCTCCCTGGTTACTTCAAAGCCCGGGATAGCAACAACAGGGGCATATATCGCAGTCGCCGAACCAGTGATGATGCAACATGTGGGAAGAGCTCAGGATTTGGTAGTAATTGGCCCACTAGCACTGTTGACCACCATCATAGTGAGCATGGACAGAACCCAGCCCCCTAATATGAGTTATAAGTATAATTGCCCTACTCCTAACCCTACTTATAACTACCCGTGAACCTCCAAGTAGGCGACATCAGTCAACGACCTGGTCTCGCTCTCAGCACAGTGTTTGGACCAACAGCCTTCCACATGGGTTGGCAGGGCTTTGGTTTGGGGATTAGGGCAGAGTGCTTTAAGGTCTTGTGGTCTTCAGGGCTTCTAGTTTGTGGATTGTGATTTCGGGTTTAGGGCCTCTGGATTAGGGTGTGCAATGTGGAAGCTTCACCATGAACTTGATGTAGATGCCTGGATACTTCGTAGTACACATCATTACTTAAGGTTCCCCGGTAGATTGTTCTGTCATAGAGAGGCTCTGTAAGAGCTCAGTCTAGTTCTTCACGGCTTTTGGTGTCTGGTGACCCTTTTCTCGTGTAGAAGAGCCTTAGCACTACCGAAGTCATGTAGTGCCGTAGAATCCACCGGTTTGTTCAGGAATCTTCTCCACTTCCTTTCGATTGAAGCAATCGTCTGTTTTCAGGAGCCTGGCACAGTGTCGAGACTGTCGGAAAAACGGGCTTGGGGTCTTGGGATATAGGGCTGTTGCTCCTAAAGGCTACACTCTCAAAACAACGTAGAGGGCAAATCTTGGAACACTCAAGTGCAGGGGTTGAAAGCCCCCTGGACCATAAAGAGGAGGAGACATATCACTAGCAGTATGCGGTTGGCGTGTTCCATGAACCCTGTATCGGCGTTGTACCTCCCCCACATCCCACAAGAAGTTTGCGCCGGTTGCGAGGGTTTGTTTGTGATCCAGCTAAGCGGCTTCGGTGATTCTTGTGGGGTTGCTCGTGTCGTGGGATGCTCCACACTCTCTCCTCCATCACGCGGAGCCATGTCATATGCAAGCCTCAAGAGTTACCTATATTGTTCCTTAGGGTTCCTCATTATAACCATATTGTGAAGGTGCCCAAAACCCCATTCTAATATTTAAGGCCCCTACATTACTGCGATCACCAGGCCCCAGTGCTACCAGTTGTGTGCTTCGTTCTGATCCTTTGGTGTCGCTTTGTGCCCGAGGCTTCCAACACGATGCCTGACCTGCAGGACCTAAAGCCCTAAACCTAAAGCCCTAAAACTCTAAACCCTTAACCCTAAACCCTGAAACCCTAAACCCTAAAACCCTAAACCCTAAACCCTAGCCCTAAACCCTAAAACCCTCAAACCCAGTTGCTAGTTTGGCTTGGCCAGGCGGCCCTCAGCCTTGAGGGTTCAGTGCTGTTGCCAGTGGCACCCACCTGCAGCGGTTCCGAATGTCCACCAGAGCTGGGGTTTGAGCCAGTTTGCGGGCTTTGGGTGTGAGGCTTACTGCTCACGGGTTCACTAAACCCTGAATCCCGTAAACCCCTAAAGCTTAAACCCCTAAGCCCCAAACCCTAATCCGCTAAACCCTAGTTCAGTGTAAGTAGCAGATGCGGGGTTCAACCAGCCCCCCCCCAGGGTTTAGGGTTTAGGGTTTTTAGTGCTGAAGGCTTGAAGGGTTCAAGGCTTTAGGGCTTCGGGTCCACGGGCTTTGCACGATTAGTGAGTCGTGGTATCCCCCTTATCATATGGGAGTCTCCGAAAATAGGGGTACCTTATTTGGGGGTCCATATAATAAGGATCCTACTATTTAGGGTACTATATTAGGGTCCCCTATTTTCGGAAACTCCCATATCGAGGCCACTGTATTGAGCTCTGAGTTCTGGCTCTTGCTCTTTGCAGGACATCTTTTTGGACAGGCTGGGCTGCATGGTGTCAGAGTACTTGGGGGTTCATGGGTAGTTATGAGCAGGGTTATAGCTTGGGCAACTATACTTATAACCCAAATAAGGGGACGTATAACCCCACTTATGACTACCCCTGAACCTCCAAGTAGCTGTCCGCCCTCCTCACTGGACATGTCTGTCGTGCCTCGCTTGACCTCGTGCTGCAAACGTGCCGTCTACTTCGGTCCTCGGGTCTGTCGGTGCTCTGTGTCTGTATGCTTTATGACACTAAACCCCAAACCCGAAGCCTTAATCAAGGTGGGTTCACGAGTATCTCCCGAAGATTGTGCATGCGAGACTGAGAATGACCAGAATTCCGCGACATCTGCGGTGCTGTGAACAGCGTTGCACAGGAAGTAAACAGGAGCTTAAGCTTCCTAACCCCTAAGCTCTAAAGCGACGTGCACGAGTGTATCGGTCAACTTCGTGTATGACCGGCTATTGTACGTGTTATCATTAAGTACCTGAAGTTTCAATCGGTTGCCGACGAAGCCGTAGAGTTGTACGTTCTAGCTTGAGGAGATGATAGTGACAGCCTTGAAGCTGTTGACGGTTTGCAGAGTTCAATGTCTCAGTTCAGGCTTAGGTTGGTGTTAAAGTTCCAGGGTGCACACTTGGTACAGCAGGTCTGGACAAGACCCATGACTCATCAAGCCGATCATCTAGGAACAACTTTAGGCGTGGATATTTGTTCGATAACAACCGAACACGTCTGGCCAACTGTACGGTCAGGTTCGACGAGTTGCAGCGGTACGTGGAGATGACGATGACCAACATGGACTATCCAAGGACAGACAGTGTCTGTCATTCTTCGGTTGTGCGTGCGTGCAAGCAGTAGCAGCGACGTAAATATGTAGCTGTAGCTATGTTTGTGTCTTTCTACGTGTGAGTCTATCTGTCTATCCACCCATGCATCCTTCCATCTATATGCGTATGTACTCTATTCATATGTCCTTCCATCCATCTATGTATCTAACTATCTACCCATCTATCCATGTATCTGGATCTACCGATCTATCGATCCATCTATCGATCTATCGCTCGATCGCCCTATCGATCGATCTATGGGCTTGTCTACCTGCCTATCTCCCTATCTATTTGTTCATCGCTCGATCGGTCTGTGTAGGTATCTCTCTGCCTATCTACCTGCCTCGCCCTAACCCTAAGCCTAAACCCTGTATATATATATATATATATATATATATATATATGTATTAGATATAGGGATATATATATATATATATATGTATATATGTATATATGCATATATTATATAGTATATTATATATATATATATATATATATATATATCTTGTCCCTACCTACATGTGCACATGTGTCAGGCAGATTTCAGGTCTACAGCAGGAGCCCACAGGCCGAACCCAATAGCCTCAATCCTTGAGAGTAATGTATAGGGAATCCCAGCACTATTTGGCCTTACTCCGGTTTCCAACTTTATGCGGTTTATTGTAGGGTGCAGGGTCTAAAGTCTAGCGGTGTTGTGCTTGTGTGCATGTTAGGGGTTGGGATTAGTCAAGAGTTCAGGGTTTGGCGGGGGTGCCCCTCCACCTGAACCCTAGGTGAGGTTTCTATAGGCACGCCAGGATGCCGAGGTGTGTCAAACCATGGAGACCTGCATCATTCAGCCACACCCACACTTGAAGCATGAACGTCAAGCCTAAACCTTACACTCTTAAAGGCCTTTTACGAACGAATAAAGTCTTAAAGTATGGGAAGGCAATTGAACCATGCCCGAGCCGCAGAACCACGAAGTCTTTGCCAATCCCAAACCTGCTTCGCCAAGCTTCTCCGAACGGCTGGTTGCAGGGCTATGCCGCCTGGCACAGGAGGAGGCTACGACATGTCCATGAAGGCCTTAGTGTTTGGTTTGGGGTTTGGGACTTTGGAGGATCTTGAAGATTTAGCATTCAGAGCCCCAGCCATGCAATGCACAAGTCTTCGGCGGAAGACAGTGTTTCAGGATTATCTCCGAGGCCCAAAATCTTGCAGACTTCCCAACACTCAGATCTCTCACCCCGAAGGCGCTGGGGTTTGACAATTTGGGTTTAGGGTTCGGGCATCAAGTTGAAGTGTTTTTCGAAGGGTCCATGTATCCAACTAGTATGGGCTTTGGCCCCAACGTAGCTATGCAAGCGCTACTTTCAACCCGCAGCATCTAATGTAGGAACTTGATTCAGGAACCCTGGGCTTGTAACCCCAAAAGCGTAGGATTCAGAAAAGGAACCTCATAAAGGCCCAAGGCTTCTTAATCAGGTTCCTACATTACTGGTTGGGTACATGGCCCTTGTAGTGTTTCGGGCCAAAGTTGCCCCAAGGGTCCATGTACCTAAATAGTACATACATTGGCCTTAAAGTACCCCCTACAGGGGTACATTGGGCCACCCAAAGTATATACTATCTGGGTACATGGACCCTTAGGGTTTAGATCCTTGTGACTTCGACCCTCGGAGACAGCCGGAGGAGATAGATGAAATGTGCCCAGAGTTGGCCGCGACTCATACGGTTTGGGGTTTCAGGTTTGGGGCTCCAAAATCCTGACCCCGGAAATCCCGAACTTCAATCCTATGATTAAGACCATCTTAAAGTCTGCAAATTCCCGATTTGTTTACGAGCTTTCCAGAGAGATGGATGTTCCACGTATATCTACTCAATCTACTCAGCTAAAAAGGATTAGTTTTCAATTTTCTGGCTTTGGGGGTACGACAACAAAGAAGGGCTTAGTATGTTCGGATTTGGGGCAACCCCAGAGTCTCGTCGTACCCTCCAAATTACATTGCGTGCGAAGCTCAACCTCTGCGGCTGAAGTCCTGTAAGCCTGTAGCAAAAGAAGTAGGTTCTATGTAGCAGGTTCCGTTGTCTGTACCTCATATGGTGCTCCTGGCAAATGCCGGCGAGTCTCTTTTTTTCCTAGCTGTTATGCAGGTGATACTGGAGACACCGCAGCCCAAGCCCTGAACCCAAGTCCTACCAGAACCGTAACATTTCGAAATGCTGAGTTGCGCCCCAAGCTAGCTCCCAAGTGCTCAGGCAGACCCAGGGTGGCAATCCAGATCACCTGTGAATCGCAGCTTGGCACCGCCACAACTGTATGGGATTTATAAGGCTTGATGTCTAAGTTTCTGGTAAGTAGGTTGTGGAAAGTTTTTCCTTAAAAAACAACTAGTTGTGTTAAGTCGAGCCTTCCAAAACAGTGTTCTTTATGTAAGGACGCCTACAAAAGATGCGCTAGGTTGTCGGGAACCCTTATCTGTCTTTTGATAGTATGATTGATGTTGAGCGCATCTCTGAGCCCCTCGAAAACCCTTGGAGATTGCGGGTTTCTAATTACTGCCCATACGGTTGATGATATAAATCCTGCATGACCCATAATAGGGAATATATGGGAATTATGGTATATTCCTTATTATGGGTAATGCAGGATTTATATCATCAACCGTACATGCCGCCCTGGGTCTTAATTCTACTACTGGAGGACCCCATGTGGAAGTTGTCACATGGCCTCGTAGTATGGGTTTAGGGTGTTCAGAAGTATGTTGACGATAACAGGACGATAGTGACATTGATTCCTGTGTGTTCTGTCATGCGGTTCCTCTGATGATGTTGTATTTTGGTTGTGCGGTTTCCTCGCCAATTGTATCATTAAGAATAACATATCGAACAACTGGTGTGCTTGGATGGGTAGTTGACATACTCCATATGGTCCAGCATGCTCCAAGACTCTGTCACTCAGTGATCCAGGGCTTTTCCATGAAGGCTCTGCCGTTGGTGGCTTCAGGGTTGGGGCTTGAGGTCTAGCTGCGCGGTGCTCATACCCGAAGCGATCCTCAAATCTCTGACTAGTATAGTCATTTGGGTTCAGCACGTAGTGGTCAGTGACGGTCACTGCTGGAGTCGGGAAACCAAATGTGAAATTGGTGGGTTTCCTGCCCCTCAATCCTGAAGCCCTAAATTGTGGAGGAATCGAGATTTAACAGCTTAATGGGCGATCATGTGATCAATTGCAAAATCCTGCTGTGCCACGTGGACTTTTCCCCCCGACGCTACTCTTTATCAGTTCTTCCAATCATTGTTTTTCCGGCGTGACTTGAGCCTGTGACACGCTCCCGACACCGGATCGAAACCCGAAATCTTGAAGCTCTGAAGAGCCTTGCCCATAGGCCCCGTAGTAGTTAACCTTTTTGGGATTACCTTTCCGGATTCTAATTATGAACCCCAAAAAGGAACTGCTATGGGGCTTATGGGTAAACACCGAACAACAAGCACTGCCGACTTTAGAACCCAAGCCTTGTTGGCCCTTCTAGGCGGACCCCCGCCGGCAACGGACCCAAAGAGTCCGCAGCGGCAAGCGGCGAAGTTGGCAAGCAGAGGGTTCGGGGTTTAGGGCTTACAGGGTTTTGGGGTTATGGGGTTTGCGATTTAGGGTTGAGATCTCATAGGCCATACATATTTTGTTTAGGATTCTCTCCTTGAGGCTGATGCCTACGGGTCGCATATTCTAGCCCAACTCTCTGAACCTGAGTTGCCACGACTCCATACCCCTTGCGCCCGAACCCGAAGAACCGAAGGCTCCATCGCTTTCTTTCGGATTCCGCCGGAAATCACTTGGGATCATTATTTTTAGGATCCTATCATGTATGGTACAAAAATAGGGTCCCCTATTGTCGGAAACTCCCAGACGCTGTAAATGCCTAAACCCTTAAACCGCTATAGCCCCAGACCCCAGTCTTTACACTTCTAGATCCAAAACGAAGCCTAAACACACGACCCCACGAAGCTCCCGGGCGGCAGCTTGGGTGGTCCGTGGGCTTTGGGCTAAGCGTGCGTCCGTTTATCATCACGAGCGGGAGTGGACACTCCCTGGTGGGGACACGGTCTTGAATTTTGCTGCAGCCCTGAACGTGGACTGCCCTCTTGTCAGAGACCAGGGGATTGTTGCCAAGGTGCAACAGCATGCAGCTTCAGATGTGACCACCCCTCTGTGCTGGTCCTATGCAAGATCCTCATTTTGGTCATGTGTGCACAGGGCGACTCCTTCTAGCCACGAAGAGCTGCCTGCGCGAAGCGGCCGGCAAAATGATGGTAATGAGGATGAGGATGCAGACGCGGCTGCGGTTGCGGATGATGATAATGATGATGATGATAAGAATGAGCACGAGAATGAGACTGAGGATGAGGATTACGACTGTTGTCCTCCTCCTCCTCCTCCTCCTCACGCTCTTCGGCCTTCTCCTCCTTCCTCCCCGCCCTTGATCATCATCGTCATCATCTCCATCATCGTTGCTGTCATCAGCGCCGCCATTTCCATTGCAGTTTACGTATCATGATCGCCTGTCATCACGGCCATCAGTCTCGTCATGGGTTCCATGGCAAGTTGTTGTACCTTGTATTCTGGGGCCATTTGTGGACAGTGCCGCACTTCTGTTCTGAAGCACACCCTTAACTCCAGCAACCTTGTTACCCATAGGCTCCATAGTAGTTCCTTCTCGAGGCTCATATTTAGAATCCAATAAGGTAAGCCCAAAAGGAACTACTATGGGCCTACGGGTAAGTCCTACAGACATCCGAGACCGTGTACCCTTCTTAATCCTTCAAGCCCGAAACGGCCTAAAACTTGCACATCATGCCCTGATCCTAAAGAACCGCAGCCTCTGTTTGATGTAGGAACCTGATTAAGAAGCCCTGGGCCTAACACCCCAAAATAGTAGGATTGTAAAAAGGCACCCTAATCAAGGCCCAAGGTTTCTTAATCAGGTTCCTACATTAAGCCCTAAACCCTAAACCCTAAAACCCTAAACCCTAAACCCTAATCCCTTGTCTGAACCAGGCTCCTACATTAGTCCACCAAGGCGAACGCACGCTCTACCACGCTGCCGATCGCTACGGATGGCCGATCGCGGAGACCGGATACCGCTCCGGGAGCACCCGTCCGCGCCTTGGGGTATAGGGTTTAGGGGTTTGGGGTTTAAGGGTTTAGGGTTTAAGGGTTCAGGGTTTAGGGGTTTAGGGTTTAAGGGTTTAGGGTTTAGGGGTTTAGGGTTTAAGGGTTTAGGGTTTAGGGGTTTAGGGTTTAAGGGTTTAGGGTTTAGGGTATAAGGGTTTAGGGTTTTAGGGGTTTGTTTACCCATAGGCCCCATAGTCGTTCCTTTTATTTGCGAGTACCTTACAGGATTCTACATATCAAGCCCCAACAGGAACTACTATGACGCCTCTGGGTAGGGTTCCGGAGACCCTAATCCCTAAACCCTGAGCCCTAAAGCCTAAACCCTAAACCCTAAAGGTCTTAGGGTTGTAGGGTTTTCGGACTTCCGGGCTCAGGGCTCTGGGTTTTAAGGCTTTGGGGGTTTCGATTTCGGGCGTTCGGTTTTCGGTGCCGTCATGTCTTGGGTTTTTTTAGGGGTCATGGCCTTGGGGTGTCGGCTTTTGGTTTTGGGCTTCAAGGTTTCTGAAGATGAGAAGTTTGGGGCTTTAAGGTTCAGGGTAACCCTAAACCCTAAACCTTAAACCCCTAAATCCTAAACCTTAAACCCTAAACCCTAACCCCTACACTGGGTTTCAGGGTTTTCGACTTCGGGACAGAGTTTGTGGTTTCAACGACTGTAGGGATGTGGACCAGGTGTTGAGGTGCGTGGATAGCTAGGCAGCAGTCAGAATCACTCCACAGGCAGCCTGGGCTGGGTTTTCGCATCGAAGAGGTTTCTTAGAAGTCCTCCGCATGTGGGATGAAGCAAGGTGGCCTGATCCCTAGCTGAAAGCCTTTATATAAGGGATCCTCACTCCTACCTACCTTCATCTATCTTCGGAGGCGCCTGATCTGTTCCGTCCAGGATGTATTGTATCGGGAATCATGGCAGAAGGTTTAGGGTTTTGATTAATGATTAGACACAAGCCGTTGCTTGAATCAATAACCAGGCATCCCTTCGAAATGCTACACGTGACGCAGAACCTTCACAACCTATCCGATCAAATTCCGGGCTAGAGTGCATCTAAGTGACTACTTGGAGGAACCGGGGACTATATAGAAAGTCAACATTTAAGTCACTTATTTGATTGACTAGCTTTCAACACCTTGTATACAACTTATAAACCAAACCCCGGGCTACTCAGTCCCAGAATACCCGAAGCTTTCGCGTAACCCCTTGGCTGGCAACAGTTGCCGGCTTTTCATGTGGCAACCCCCTTTGCGCAGTGTCGGACGCGTCGCCTCAGAAGTCAAAGGTCCCTTGCATGAAAAACCAGAACTCTGATCCCTAGCAGCTCAGTCTCGTAATACCTTAAAGGCACCCTTGCAGTCGAAACTCCAGTTATTTATAAGTTACTCAATCTCATAATCCGGCAAGTACTGCAACTTCCGCAGGCCGATCGGGCGCGAAGGCAGGTCGGTATCTGAACATAAGCTACTGCGAAAGCTTCGGGTCCGGCGTTGAGGTATCTTGGGTGTACGTGTTTGTTTGGGCTTTGGTGTTCTCATTCTGCGGTTTTGGGTTTCGGGTTTGGGGCCATGGTTTGTAGGTTTTCCATGGTCAGTGCGGAGGATTCGGGCTTGAGGCTCCAGGTGTGTAGAACTGCAGCTGCAGCGAGGTGTGCAGCTAGACCTTCCCACCTTAATGGCACCATTTCTTCTTCGCAATTCCTTGTTAGTGTGCGCTAGGACTTTTCGCTTAACTTGCGACTTCGGTTGCTGATATTACAGGAGCCAAGGCGATGGCAGTAAATCCTAACAAGTCTTTTTGTCCCTGCATCTGTCCCTTCGTCGCAGTGGTCTTTGGCTTTCTGATTCCAGATCGCTGACCACAAAAGCATAAGCAATTAACAGACGGTTCTGGACGCTGTGTTCTCATGTACGGATGATTTCGGTTTTGGCCACGGGGCTTTTGCATGTAGTGCCTTTTGAAGAGAATCTCTGGTTTCACATGGCCGAGTCCTCAAAGGTGGTATGATCGCTTTTGGGGGCCTCTGGCAGTGCCCGCAAGCTTTCACGACGCTAGGCAGCGAAAAGGACCCCGTCTGGCAAAGTAATTAATCTGTTCGGAGCCCCGGACACCCCTGCCCTACCGAAAGACGTCCATGCTTGCCAGACATCCGGGTGGCCAGTCTCTCGCCCACGGCCAGGGACCGCGCACTTGTTACGCGGGGTTTCGGTCGTTCAGCTTGGGTGGAGCTCCACTGCCGATCCAAGGGATAGTGATTTTGGGCGAAGCATGTTTTGTATGCAGCTTCCCTAACAAACCTGCTTTGAGGCTCTGCATGCTGTTGACCGGGAGGAGGGAATGGAGGCAATGTCATTTACATATGCAGTAGCGGTGTCTTTCACGTTGATATAAACGCAACTGGCACCCAACCCCAAACCAGGACTGATTCTCATGGAACAGCGCGCATGCAGCTTTCTCTCCTTCTGGCAGCTCCTACCAAATCAACAAAATTCTGTCCATTTATTGGATTGGATTTGTAACTTTGGCTCCAGCGCACAAAGCTGTGCGGGGCCACCTCCCCAAACCGCAACACCTAAACCCTGAACTCCAAAGCCAGAATTGTAAATCCTAAGCTCTCAAACACTATAGACCCCAACCTTCATCTCTTCGTGACTGGGTGTGCTTCCAGGATCAGCTGGGCCCAGAATGGCCTCCGGGGTGGGCCGGTGCTGTCCTGAGCCACGAATATCTTCATGGCTTCAGAGCCATGTTGATGATCTCGTGCATGCTATGTGCATATTCAGATGGCGCTGATGACGAGCATGGTGATGATGATGATGATGATGACGATGGTGCATGATGACGATAGTGACGATGATGATAATGATGGTGATGAAGCTGGTGATGTTGACGACGATGATGGCGATGACGATGATGATTGCAACGACTGGATGCTGATGTTGTTGATGATGCCCACGAGAGATGATTCTGCTGGTTCATGCTTATGATCATGCTGCTGCTGACGACCATGGTTATTGTGTTTGCGATCTGGTTGCGGTGAGGATTGTGGTGATGCAGATTACACTGATTATGCTGATGCTGACGCTGTAGCAGAAAATGATGATGAGGAGGATCTAGGACCATCTTCGTTGGCTTTCGACCCCGCCAACTGGATGTGTTGAGATTCCAGCATTTCGTTGTCTTCATCATATTGACAACAGGGCTGCATCGAGACTCGGTAGTTGCATGCAAGCTTCTTAAGTTTTTGGCTTCGGTTCCTCTGGACAAAGCTCAAGGTTTTGGGCGGGTTTGGGTTCATTCGCAAGACAGTGACAGTGCTCAACGGCACAGACCCGCCGTCTCAGGACCGCCGTAGATGGAGACGGCTCGGGTCTCGGTTCAACTTGATGACTTCAAGTTCCAGACATGCTCGGAGATCGGAATCGTGGTGTGATGGGGCTGTGCTTATGTAGACTGCTAGACATTGCCTCACTATTTCTGCATGCGCGAAGTGTCTGGGTATGCGACAGAGAAGCACACAGCAAATAGTGACCACCTGTCATTATGCTCATAAAGCATATGGGCTGTAGCATGGTACCACTCCCAGCAGCATGCCGTCACCTTTCAAGAAGACCATGTGGGACATGTCAGCTCAGCTTTTGACGACAATGCTTGAACCCTAAACTTTCTTTGTGAATCAGTTTGACACTATGCAATCCTAACCATAGGAATGGTTAACCAAGAAGGAATCGGAATGGAGACTTGCAGTTGTCTTTGGCAATGCACTGTCACTATTGAAGTTCCTAGGCGTCCCAGCGAACATGAGGCCCACACCTTACAGTATCATTAGGATTAACTTGGATCTCTCTCTCTCTCTCTCTCTCTCTCTAAACAGGAGCTGATTTGGAAAGTATCTGAAGCTTCTACTCTCTTCCAAGCATGTTAAGGGGCGCCTCATGAGTCCATTCACCCTAAACCCTACACAATAAATCCTAAACCCTAAGTCCATTCACCCTAAACCCTAAACCCTGACCCGCGCAGGCAGGAACCAGCATGGTGGAGCTAGGTGGTCCAGGGATTCTGCTGTGCTTGGGGTTTTTGGAGGGCGCGCTGAGGCTTTAGGGATGTAACTTTAAGTTTCTTTTTTTGGGTTTAGGGGTTATGGTTCAGGGTTTAAGGATGTGACTTTAAATTTCTTGTTTGCCAAGTTCAGGCTGTTCGAGCACAGGGTGTTCGTGATTTGCAGCTGTAGGGTTTAGGGTTGAGGGTCTTGGGGTCGACAAGATTTCAGGCTTCAAGCGTGCGAGGCGTAAAATCGGGGTCGGGGCCACTGGCAATAGTATTCCTTAGCATTCTCCATTGTTGTGACTGTCTAGCTTAACTCAAGCCCTATCCTACTAGCTCAGACACTGATTGCGCGATAGTTAAAATCTAGATGCTCCTTGGCAACGGCACCTCTTCATAGTCCTTAATTATATAGTATTGCTACGATAGTATCCCCCAAAACCTTGTTCATTGTTATAAGTGTAGCTGGGGGCTTGAGGTTTAGTGTTGTATGTCTGGGCCTGAATATTTAGCGAGCGCCTATGTAGATGCACTTAACAGCTCTAAGATGCAGTTGTGCGGCCCTTAGGTTGTGGATCTAAGCCCGGCTGGTCCAGGGCCAGTTGTGACCTTAATTACAAAGGTTTCTGGTTGTCTCAGTTGCTTTTGGGGTTTAGGTTTTGGCCTCAACCGTGAAACTTGGCTTGAGGAGTGTGTGCCTGCAGGTGTGGTCGCGCGGCATCATTTGAAGGGCTTTTCGTTCCAGTAGTGTTGCTCAACTCGGTTTGATAGCAACCCAAAGGGTCCAAGTACCTAATAATCGTATGTTCTCTTAAATATTGAGCTACATAACTACTATCCTAAACCCAGGTACCTAATTATTGAATTGGGTCCTTTGGACCCTTAGGGCAAGCCCGACAGCATGAATTCGCACAGGGTCTGCGTCACCGCAATCGGGGAGGAGCGTAGCGGCATGTGAACAAAGACTGTTGAAGCTAACTCTCAGATGGGGATAGAGATCGGTTAGTACTTCATGACTTTATTCTTTGACGCTTTTGACTCCAACATCTAAAGATCTGTACGCACACATGGCGATGAGTCGATATGCAGGGGTCCCGCCACGATGTCGGAGACATGGCCGTGCCTGCCTCGGGATTCACTGTCTCTCAGACTTCGTGGCTTCTGGATGTTTAGGACTTTCAGGGTTTAGGGATGTTTGGGGCTTACGTGGCATACGGGGCTTATCGTAGGGCTTGTGGGGTTTAGGGTGTAAGGGGTTTAACTGTCCCCCGGCCCAATCCCTGCGAAAGAATAGAGTCGTATGACCCCACAAGTGTAGGGGGTGTAGAACTTGGAGGTTCATGGGTAGTTATGTTATATGTCACCGAAGATGAGTAATTACTAAGTATAATTACCCTACTTATAACCCCACTTGTAACTACCCGTGAACCTCCAAGAAGGGCAGTGGATTCGCAATATTTCGGGCTTAGGCATGCAAGACAGGCATGAAAGGGCCTTATAGGCACTAGTGGCATTATTTCCCTAAGCCCTAAGGCGTAGAATTGAATACAGAAAACAAGCATTCCAGCAGAAGCCCAAGTCCTTTGAAACTTCGTATAAGGCTCCAAGTAGCCCACAGTTGACGCTGTTTCTAGAGTTGCGACTTCAGAACAGACTGTTGCGTCGTACGGAACGCTAGATCCGAACCGTTGAACCTCTACTTGGACAGCCACCGAGAGAGCTTTAACCTTTTGTGAGTCGTTGAGTCTATCTTCGAAGGTCTTAACTAGTCTGAACTTTCTTGCCCCTTTTATTGAAGAAGAGAGTCACTCCCCTACCCACAGAAACTCCGAAACCCTCAGCACCCTCAACCCTAAAACAGAACCCGAAGGCTCAGACCGTGTGATTCCTTGGATTTCACCTGACTCCCCAAGAAACCTAGCCGTTTAGGATTCCTTTTTGTGAGGACTCCGAATCCGGCAGGCTTTTGTGGCTTCAGTTACAAGCTGCTCCCACCCTGTAATAGCGACTATAAGGATTATATTAGGGCCCTATTATATTCCTAGTATACCACTATTACAGGGTGGGGGCCCCTTCTAAAGGATTCCTTTTTGTGAGGACTCCGCATGCGGCAGGCTTTTGTGGCTTCACCCATAGGCCCCCAAGTAGTTCCTTCCTGGGATTACCTTATAGGATTCTATATATGAGCCCAAAAAAGGAACTACTTTGGGGCCTTAGGGCAGTTGTGAGTTCTGAGGTGGCAGCCCAGGTCCTCTACGCCCCCGCCACAAGAGGTTCCCAAGGCCGGGATTTGCTTACCTTTGGTTAGTAGGGAATGGAAGAATGGTAGTAATAGTAGTTATGGGTTTAGGGCTTAGGGTTTAGGGAAGACTGGTAGTAATAGTAGATATGGGTTCAGGGTTTAGGGAAGAATGGTAGTAATAGTAGCTGTAATTGTACCCCATCCCTCCTTTCCCTACTAACCAAAGGTAAGTTTGGTGGCATGGCCTTCCAGGGTTATGGTAAGCAGTGTTGAGGCCTTCAAGGTAAACTCTGCACTGGTTTGAGGTCGCTGGTCCATGAACTGTAGGGTTAAGGGTTTCGGGAAGGGTTGATCCTTTAGGGTAGTTAGGTGGACAGCGATACTGTTGCGAACTTGCGTCTTCGGTTTGAGTTCGCAGCACCGCCCCCTCTTCCCTCGCCTTCAAGCACTAAACTCAGCGAAAATGTCAAACATACAGCCCAACATGTCATCTTCGGTCGTGGAGTCCTTGCAGCGCAGATCAGACCCACATCATTTTCGGGCATTCTCCATCCTGGAAGAGGGCTGCGCAATCTGACAGCTTCATCGTATGATGCAAGTTTGTGCGCGTGCGTGTGTATGTGAGAAAGAGAGAGAGAGAGAGAGAGAGAGAGAGAGAGAGAGTGTGTGTGTTCGGCTGTCTAGCTACAGATGCATGTATGCACGGACGGTGCAGGCTGCACTTGTATACATAACTAAACAGAACGTTGGGCAACGAGAAGTCAGAGGAATCGATGTATCCGACCGACCATCCATCAATGCATTCATAAGAGCATGTGGACATGCTACAGCAAGACGATCACCCCATACAAAATCAGCATTTATAATAAGTAACGATGCTACCTGATCATACTTTATCCTTATGAATCAATGAGAACAAATTCTAAAACACGCTGATTTTACTCGAAACACACGCGCCCGTATGCCGAGGCACCCTCCCTCTAAATAAACCAATACAGACTTGCTTGCATGAAGACATTGATACACTGCATACTCACGTGCATGCGTGCATGCATACATATGTACAAACATACATACATTGCACGCATGCAACCCTACCTACCTACAAGGACCTAAACATACATACATAGAGATGCATGCAAACATACATACATACCTACTTACTTGCATACGCACATGCATACGTACCTAAGTTACTTGCATATAACAGCCATGCATATTTATGTAAACATACTTACATGTATGCAAGTCTCCTCTCTCTCTCTCTACACACATTTTTGCAATGATTCTATATCGGTAGACATTGACAATTTACAAGGTACACACCCGTACGCATGGGTTGTGGGTGTTGTTGTTGTGGTGGTTGTTGCTGTTGCTGTTGTTGATGCTGTTGCTGTTTCTGCTGCTGCTGTTGTTGTTGTTGTTGTTGTTGCTGCTGTTGTTGCTGCCGGTGCTGTGTTTGCTGATGTTGCTGTTTGTGTTGCTGTTGCTGCTGCCGTTGTTGCTGGAGCTCCTGCCGCTGCTGCAGGTGCTGCGGCTGTTGCCGTTTGTGTTGGTGTTACTGTTGGTTGTGGTTGTGGTCGTGGTTGTTGTGGTTGGGGATGGTTTTGTTGTTGTTGTTGTCGTCGTGGTATGTCGTGGTTTGTGTTGGTTATTGTTGTTGCTGGTGGTGGTGGTGGTGGTGGTGGCGGTGGTGGCGGTGGTGGTACTGGTGGTGTTGTTGGTGGTGTTGTTGGTTTTGTTGTTGTGGTCGTCGTCGTTCTCCTTCTGGGTTGAAATACTCCAGCCTTGCCGTCCCTGGCTGCTTATACCCGCTACGCTCTTCTTATCGGGCCCTCATGGTTTTGCTGCCGCAAGAAATTTTGGTGTAGCTATCTACTGTAACCACTCCAAAAGGAAGTTATGTATACAGGGACCATAATTGTCATAAGTGGGTATCATTCTTATATAGAGACTATACACGGATGTTGCTAAAAAAACTCTGCAGACTCCCAAAGCACCTGTCGGCAGAGACTGTAGATCAGCTCGGCAAGCCAGTGGAGGCATGACATCTTCGACCCATCCGCCTCTTAAGCGACCCTATGCAGTAGAGGGTGGGTAGGGTGCAGGGTTCGAGGGATCCGGTGTGGAGCTCTTGTCCCGTCTCAAATCGATCGTCGTAACACTCGCAAGACTAGATGAGGGCCGGGCACGCAGGTAGGACAAAGACCGCAGTAGCACTTGGCCCAGCACAAGCCTCGTCTTGGTCGCAAACATGCGGGGGACTGTGCTTCGAGTCAGCAGAACCCCGTTGCAAACTCACAAGTTGTAAACTTATCCCTAAACCTGTCTGCAATACAACTGCTTGTCCAACATCTAAGCCGATCACATGCACCTAGGCCTAAGCCCCGAGAATCTGCAGAACAGAGAAAGCACGGAGATCAGCTGCCGCAGGAGGAGATCCCTCCACCGCTGCCCGCGCAGCCTAGCAGGCAGCGGTGCAAAAGTTGCTCAGATTGAAAACTTCTGCAGTAGTCTTCATGTGGCTTTAACTCAGTGTCTGTGTGGAAAGGCCGGTTGTGGGGACAGGGCTTTTCGCTTGGCTTTGGTGCAGCTTTTGGGACCTCGCAGTCACCTGTTAGGGTTTAGGGAAGGTTGGACAGCTAATCGCCTAGCAAATCCCATAGTCTGCATTTTCGATCCTTGAAGTTGTGTGCGTTCTGTCTAATCTAGCTCTGCAGTTTATCTTGTTTAATACACGTTGATTTAGCCTTTTCTGTCCCTGTTTCTCCCTCCCTCGCTCCCTCTCTCGCACTTTTTCAAGCAATCTTGAGTCGAGGCCCCTGAGTTCATTTCCCACCAATGAAGCCTGACTCAGGAGAAAAGGCTCCGAATGCAGGGCCCCAATCACTCAGGCCCCTACTGTCTGGTACAGTCTACTTGTCGATCGCCAAGACACGATGCTTCAAGGCGGCTAGTTTCCTGGGAGTCTTCTACATGCTATGAGGTTATGAGTCATGTATCTGGTCTGACATACTCCAAACCGCAAATCCTTCCATGAGGAACCCGAACTTAGAAACCCTAAGCCCTAAACGATGCTAGCTGCTAGCCATTTGCAGCTGGGGTCTGGAAAGTGTCAACTTAGGGTTCATGGTTCCGGGATGTACTTGGAGGTTCATGGGTGGGTATAAGTAGGGTTATAACTGGGGTAACTATACTTATAGCCCGAGTTCGGGGGCTTAGAACCCCACTTATAACTACCCCTGAACCTCCAAGTGGGCTCTTGCCTGACTAAACGACTTTGGGACTCACGGTTTGGTCGTTGGCCCCGATGCTTTCTATGGTCTTCTTACGAAATAGTTTGTTTCATTTTTGTTCATATAAAACCCAAGAGAATATTCAAACTATTATGGTTCTTTGGGGGATATTTCTTTTTGCGTTTTGTGCAGGGCTCGCCCATCGGATCTTTTTGGCGGACGGAAAGATTGAGGCCGAGTTTGGTACTGGGAAAAGTGTGCTTTTGTTCCGGGAGTCCTGGAGAAAACCGAACTTCTGTCTGAGAAGCCCTGAAACCCGATGCCCAACAACCCTAAACCCCAAGACAGTCGCAATGTTGTCTGTTCGTCTTGTAGGATAGGGTTCAGGTTTTGGGGCTTTAGGGCTTTATGGGGTTCGGGTTTAGGCGTTTGATTTCGGCTTTAGGGACCAGGAAGAGCAAGGTAAGACTCCGAAACAGATTACGAGTCCCCGGTTGGCTGCAATGTCCAGGGCACTTCTGTTTGTTTTACCAATGGGATGCTACAGGTTACTACTGTTTGGCTTGGTACGTGCGGGGATTGCAGGATTTCCTCTGGATTGTGTCCAAAGGATCAAGTTAATGAGGTTGCCTCAACTGAGGCTCGCATTGTTCAGATGTGCCAGACCAGACTAGACACGACAGACATCTTGCTAGAGCAAGCACGATTTGGAGTTAGTTCTCGCTTGCCAGAATTTAGCTGCTCGAGCAGAGTTGGATAATTCGTCCCGCTACACTGCAGTACAAGCGGCCTACAACCTTTGGCGTGCTTTCGACCGCATCCCAAGCCATGCAGCACTACCGGCCTTGCTCTTAAACCGGAGTTGAATCTGAATTATGCCCGAAGTAAGCAATAAAACCCTCAACCACTATACCCAGAAGTGCTAAAGCCCTGAAAGCCCAAACCTCGAAACTTCCAAGCCCTTGACGAAAGCTGGCACTTTTCTTCAGGCTGGCACTTATGATCAGGACTTCTCTCTCTCTCTCTCTCCTCCGGTCTTGGCAGCTTCCTTGTCAATGGACACGGGAGCCACCTTCCGATGCCCAGCGTGACGGCGTTGCATACCCGTATAGCTCCTGAATATCAGTAGCGTGTATCCGTCCCAAAAGCCCCCTTTTGTTAAGAGAGCTCTAGATCTGCATTGCATGCACTGTATGAACGATCCCCAAGCTGAAACTGCGCAGCATGCTCGGCATTGGCACGGTCGTTTTCACAGTCCTTTCGCATCGCCGAAGGCATCACGTAATGTAGCTTTACCGCCCAGAAGGCTCAGCAGCATCCGGCATGGAAGTTGCTTGGTGGTGGCTCACCATCCTCATATTGGCGCTGTGCACCCGTCCCTTTGCATCTGCTCGCAGCATAAGAGTCTACTCCACCAGAAAGTACCCGAACCCTTGATCCTTCCCGGATGTCTGCCGAGCTCTCTGACTCTCACGCGTGATGCTGGATGACAGTTGGCAAACGTTGTTTCCAAAGTCTGCCCCCCGAGTAATATATGGCATTAAACACTTGAATGGAATAGGGTTCCTGGGGTATGTTAAACACCTACTAAGTGAAGGAACCCAAGGAACAGTGAGTCTATTCATTGAGGTCCCTACACTAGACCAAGATGAATAGTGCCATACTTTTGCTTGGTGTCTTATTGCGCTTGACCTGACAAACCTCTTGGGGGCTTCCGCAGTCGAGGCTGGTGGGACGGAGGCCTCCACGCACAATCGCTGTGTGCGCTTTTCCGAGAGTAGGGGACTGCAATACACATAATATGTTATATGTGTATGTACATATGTATATATACATCCATGTATGTGTGTATATATATGTATATATCGGTATATATATATATATATATATATATATATATATATATATATATATATATCCCAAATAGCAGGGTCTTGATTTTACGGAAAGTAAGGGGCCGTTATTATTACAGAACTCAGTGGCTAACCGCATGAGAGAAATTAGCCATGTAAATGCAGAGATCGAGTCGCAGGTCAGCAAAGAAAATCGAAATTCAGAACCATGAGTTGCAACGTTTCTTGCCGGGTTTCTTGATAAACAAGTTCTTTCAGGGAACTAGAAGAGTAGGGTTCGGGGATGACGGTTACGCCGCTCAATTGTATCACCGGCATCGCTACCGCAAGGACATAAGTTACATTCTCAGGAATGATCCGTACTCAGGTTAGTTAGACCTGAAGCCTTACCCATACGCCCTATACCATAGTAGTTCCTGTTTGGGATTACCTTATAGGATTCCACTTATGAACCCCAAAAAGGAACTACTATGGGGCCTATGGGTAACATCTACGGTTTTTATACCCTAAACCCCTAAACCCTAAACCCTAAACTAAGACCCTAGGCCCTCGAAGGCATCTTGGGAAGGAGCGTTTCGTCTCGTCTTCGGCGGACTGCCTCAAAACAGGGACCAGGCTTTTCCTTATTGGCTTTGGGCTAAGGTTTAGGGTTTCGGGTTTGGGTTTGGTGATTTCCTGCCAGGGCTTCGGGTGTAAGAGGTGCTTGTAGGCTGGAGAGTTTAAGCATGTGCACATAGGTGATTGTATACTGTACACATACATATGTACTTGCGGAGACATGCGCAACGACAGTGCGAAGTTCTACACGCTATAGACGACCCGGAACCGCAAGAGAGAGAGAGAGAGAGGGAATGTTGCATTCTGATCGTCCGGTGCATTTCCACTACAAACTTCAGGTTCTTCCGTAGGGTATATTCACCAGTCGCACTCCATGGATCATACGCCTGCACGCCAACAGATCTATGCAGGTCCGCAAGATCGTTCAACGTCCACTGATGCTGCTAACGATACTGAACATGATAATGTTGACTATGAAGGATGACTGCGATGGCGATGGTGATGAATGCGAAAGGGGTCAATATCATTCTTCCGAGCATCACTGCAATGCAGCTGCCAAACCTCTTTCGACACTAGTCCCATCATTGGTGTCACTGTCATTCGGATGCTTATCAAATTAGCACTGCTTATCTTGATGGTGCTGGCCTTGCTGTGTACACATATATATATATATATATATATAGTTGTATATACATACATACATACATACATACACACATACACACATACTGCACAAGCATGTACGTATGTACGTATGTATGTACGCATGTTTGTATGCATGTATGTACCTGCAATGGGTCCGGTTCTGTATGAGCGTGTCTATGTATAATTATATGTAGGTATATGTATACATACATGTACACGCACATACATACATACATACATACATAGACAGCGAATGTAGGGCCTGCAGACGTTTGCGCCAAGACAGGCTGTGTTTTGTTCCGCTCAAGCCGGCTCTATGAAGCGGTCCATTTCTGTGCTGTAGAAGGCGCCGTTTACGCGAGCCGGGGAGATGCTCCCGCAATATGCTTCGTGTTCCTTCACGGCACCACCGGGCCTGCAGCAGTTCGCACGGCCGCAAGGGGTGCAGACTGAAGCAGTCGCCCCCTTGCATCCAGCGCAGAGCCAAGCATGGTCGGCACCGGCACTTGCATGGCATTCTGGGAGACTTTTAACTTTTCGAAAAATAAAATAGTCCTACCGAGGTACCTCTAGTCTTGAGGTATCTGCTGAAATTTTATTGAGGGGCCGTCTGAACCCGAAACCTTACACCCAAAACTACACCGCAGGCACAGATTCCCTTGGCGTCCTGGGAGTCTGCTGGGCCTCCGAGAGGCCCCTCTGTGGCTCGTTCCCCTCCTGTATAACACGAGAAGCACCCTGCTACGCTTAGGGTTTAGGGTTTAGGGTTTAGGGTTTAGGGCTTGTTGTTTAAGGTTCAGGGCTCGGGGTTTCAGCAACCCTGAATCCGTCCTACACCCCAAAACTTGTATCGTCATCCTATCCACCTCCAATCCCCCATAACCCTATTATACTATACACCACCTATTCAAATTGCTGAAGGCCCCCCTGTATCCTTTCCTCTATAGACGCTAGAACCTAAACCCTAAGCCCTGATCCCCCACAAAACCCTAAAGCCCGACAACCTTGAAGCCTCATCCGACAACGGGTCGGTCAACCCTGTTTCTGCCACCAGGCGCGGCCTCTCCACAGCCACCCTCCAGCGCTGCAGCAATTCCATCTCGGCTGGGTGATTGTGCCGTGGCCTGGGGTCCAGGGCTTTGGGGTTTTGGGGGTTTTGGGTCTTGCTTGTTTCGCATTTGAGAGTTTAGGGCCAAGGGCGAGGTGTCTAGAGTTCTGCGTGGTATATTGGTAGGGTTTGTATGCAGAGTTGACGTCCAGGTTATCCTTGAAGGTTCGTCGGAGAGACGGCCTTTCTGTAGGGTAGTTCCTTCAAGCCGCAATCCTCCCGCTGCCAGCATGTGTGTGTGTGTATATACAAATATAAAAATAATGTGGAGTATATGCACATGATATGTTATATGCATACAATTATATGTATATACATATATACACACATACTCACATACCTAATTATACATGCATGTGCGTGTTTATACGGTGATATACTTATACAATAAATGGAACAATATATGTGTGTATTTATATGCAGGTATTCATTTTGTATGTACGTATGTATGCACATACGTATGTACCCTAATCTAAGCAGGTTTTGCCTTACGCGATGTGTATGCCTGTGGATCTGTGGCCCAGTCGCAAGGCCCTTCATGGCTTGCACGTGCAAGCTGCGTTTGTGGATTTGTAGGTTTGGCAGAGCCTGTAGGGCTCGGGCCTTAGGTGACCATAAACTGTAACGTGCATCATCGAACCCACACCCGAAGACCCGATAGCCGTAAGCCTCAAACTCCAGTCATCCTGATAACTCTACACCACAACCTCCTAAGTTTACTTAGCTCAACCCAATAAGAGTGCCCAAGTCCTCTAAAGGCAGTACTGTACATACCCCTGAAATCAATCAATCTAGAGCCTGGCTTGAACGACATGTCCGGGTACGGATCAACTATTCATGCGTCATTGTAACACAGTATAGCTATATAGGGTCACCTGTTGTTCTTGCTCGTATTCCCATTAGTGCAAGCATCATTCCAAGTATCATTTGTGTTACTCTTACACGTATCATTGTTGTTGTTACTCAGACTTTAAACCCTAAACCCTATGGCTATACCTCAAAGCCATATTACACCACATGTACCCCCAGGCAACTACGGAACTTGGGGGCATCCAGAGCTTTGCAACCGCCCCTGCGTGCACATGCAGAAGTCGGGGGAATGTCCTTCCGGCCACTCGGGGCTTAATTAAGTCACCCGTATACATACGTAGCCACATTCATAACGCATGTGTACGTGCATGCGCGCATGTATTCATACACACATGCATGCACGCATATGCCCATACATATATACATATATATTCATATACATATTAAGCATATACGTATACACACATCTGTGCATATATATATGTATGTATGTATACTCTGTGTTCACTCCGATGATGATTTTGAATTTCTTGCTACGACTACTGTTACCATTTCGATGATTGTTGGTATGGCTATACTGCTACTGTTGCTATGTGGAATACTATTACTACTGCTATTATAAACATTAATACGAATGTTAAGATAAGCCTGTTTCATGATTGGGGCTAGGGGGGTGTGATGGACTCCACACAGCATGGACACCGGCTAAGCAAGGGCAATCAATGAACTAAGTGGCTCACAAGAGTGGTTCGAAAGATTTCGTAGGACCAAAAGAATAGAGGAGGCATTCGAGAAAAGAAAGTTAAAAGCAAAGTGGAAATATTGAGTGATTCACGAAAGCTGAAGCACTAATAATCGGTTAGGGTGGATTTTAGATTCGTTGAACTTCAGACACGAATATTGCGTGGGCTCCAACAACCATAAAACTGGGCAAGTAAGGTAGAAATAACAAATTTTCAATCGAGATGACGGGATGCACCTGGCATCCCGAAGAAGGATAACGTGGCCTTTTTCATCCTTGGCAGCAGATTGTGGGTGGCACATGCGATAAACCCCGTTTAGGTCAGAGATGCCTTTCAAACTCTTGCACTAGATGATGGGTGACAAGCTCGAAATTCGAGACCTGACAAGAACCCGGTGGAGTCCAACATTGTAAACCCTAAATGCGGCATTATGCTCCCAGCCAAAATTAGCAACTTTAGGAAGATATAATGGATGACAGGCTTTGCAAACAGATTGAACATGTGAAGATGTTGCTTCATCATATGCCCAGATTATGAAGAACTATAATCGGTGACAAACCCGAATGCTGTGAACGGCTAACTTGATAGCAACAGTCTGAAAATCTGTACTGCATGACTGAGTATATCAAGTACCGTCGAATATACCTGTTTAGATAAGCTTAAGGAAGATCCCGGCATCGCATTTCGAGATTTTTCAAGGCGCTAAGCCATTAGTCCTGAAAACCATGATGGAGATATCAACAATTGCTTAGTTTACTCGAAAAACGCGGGCCTGAAATTCCTGCTCTTACAGTAGAAGCCCAAAAGTTGGAAACCCTATATTATAGCCTCAATCCTTAAGAGTAGTGTATAGGGAATCCCAGCACTATTTGGCCTTCATCCGGTTTCCAACTTTATGGGGTTTACTGTACTCACTCACTCTCTGTCCTTCTCTCTCTCTCTCTCTGTCTGTCTCTTCGTATCTGTATCTGTGTATATGTGCATGTACATGTATACATGCACACATGTACTTGTGCGTGTCGGTAAATATCCAGTGCTACCATTATAGTTATGCTGATTGCTCTTACAATAGGTGTTGTCGGTTGTTGTCACATTTTAGCATAAGGTGTTGTTCAATGTCATATGATGTGATATGATGTTAGTGTAAGCTGGTGCTTACTTGTATCGTGTGATTTTTCGATTGAACTCCGTTCTGACCTACCATATCGGATTATATGGCATTCTATTATAACATACCCTTAAGTACTATATATGGCTATGTCATGTTGTATTGAACGAACCATGTTGAGATGTTGTTTTGCTCGTGTCTGCTGTTGCGCTCGTACCTTCATGTGTGCTTGCAGATAACATGGACCGGATGCCACTCCCCTCCTTTAGCTGGTAAGAGCAAGAGGAAGCTGACAACAGTCACAGATTCCGAAACCAATTGACGGCGAAACCTTCAACCAGAAGCCACAGGAGTCGAATCGAATGAAGCGCGCTCTGCTGCCCTCGGCAGTCCATCACAGTTACATGGGAGTGAGTCCCGAATTTTGGTTTTGCGTGAAAGCAGCTGGTTATGAGTAGTGTATGGCGAATTCAAGATTTGCCGGGACTCCTGCCATTTGTGCGGCTCTTCTTGATCTCCTGGGCGTAGAATGCTACTTGGCTGATGAAAGGTAGCAGGTCTCTAACTCTAAGCATTGCATCCAAGGACAAAGATGCGAGCATTGTCATTTGCCTCATGCGGCACCAGTTGCGAAAATGGACAAGTTGCAGCGCCGCCTGATGCAGCAATTGAGCAGGGATGCAGTCGCTGCAACTCGGCGCAACTTTCCAGTGTCTCAGCATGCTCTTAGTCATGCCGCTAATACTGAAAAAATGGCATTACAAATATTGACAGAGGAGCTTTGTTCGCCATCCTTCCTCATCGGCTCATTGCACTTGATGAGGAAGATACCAGTAACGATTGGGGCTTGGGAAGCTGTGGTGGTGGTCCCATGTGGTCCCTGATTTGGAGAAACTGCTATGTCCTAACAAAGTCGGCAACATGTGCCAGTTGCTTGGGAGCCCTTGAGCACAAGTCAGCAGTCTAATGTGGTCTCCTCGGTGAATAACACCCCCCCCCCCCCTTTCCACCCTCCCCTCGCCCTGAACATCCTGAATCCGGAGTAGTGGCGGGGGCCGGGGTCTACGTTGTTTGGGGTGGGGATGTGGGCCTCTTCTGTTGGACACTAGCAGTAGTACAGTAGTAGTACAGAGTGTTACAGTAGTAGTACAGAGGAGTACAGCAATAGTGTAGGACTACTTCAGTAGTAGTACAGTAGTAGCAAGGCAATAGTTCAGTAATACAGTAGTAGCATAGTAGTAGTAGTAGTAGTAGTAGTAGTAGTAGTAGTAGTAGTAGTAGTAGTAGTAGTAGTACTGTTGATGATATAAATCGTGCATGACTGTGGGTCAGCCCATCATGTATCGTCAAAGCAGTTGCATCCCCGCGCCCCTAAATTTCAATGTTGATGTCAGAGGGGAGGTCATGCAGGATTTATATCATTCGCACGGTCCTATCAGAGCACGTCCGCCTGCGACAATGTTAAAACTCAGGGGTTCAAGGGGAGCGGCCTGTGTCTTACAAACTCATGCAGGATTTATATCATCCACCGTAGTAGTAGTAGTAGTCGCAGTAGTAGTAGCAGTACCAGTACCAGTAGCAGAACAGTATAGTACTCCAGTAGTAGATTAGGAAGGCATACAAAGCCAGGCTTTGGAGTTTGGCAGCTGCAGCTCTGCTCTGGTTTGTATATGCAAGCCTTATGGATTCGAATACAGAACGGGATTTCTGGTTTAGTGTTCCGGAGGCCCCCGGCAGGCCACTGCACTATTGAGGGGGCTTTTCATCCGAACGATTGCGGCGGCAAGGCTATCACATATTACCCTCTTGGAAAACTTGATCGGGTTGTTTTGTTAATAAGGGGCTTATATTAGAAACCTATAGATCTGGCAGCCCTGAACACCGGAGTACGGAGCTGGGGTTGAATCCTGAAGGCTGGACAGTCTAGTTTTCTATACACAGGCCTTATGGCTGTAGGGCGTCAGTTGTAGTAACAGTGTCTGTTTCCCCAAAGCGGTACGGGGATTTGCGACTATCGAGGGGGAGTTTATTCTTACGTGCAAGCCGAGTTTAGCTCTGTTGAGGGGGTTGCTCCACTATTGAATTCCGGGCCGGGGTTAGTTCTATTGAGGGGGCTATTAGTCACAAGGCACATTAGGGTTTGGAAGTCATTGTAGTGTTTGATCTCCACCCCCGTGAGCTTCTGAGAGAGTGAGGTTGACATCAACGTCTCTTTAGCGATCTTGACCACAAGCCCGAAACCCTAATCCCTGGGATCCGAGCCTATCCGAACCATAAATAGGTAGGAGCCGTCGGAGCTTCGAAGGTAATCCTTCTGCCGCAGATCCGGCAGAGGGCGGCGACTGCCGGGCTTCTGACCCACATGCTGGACTGCGGACTGTAAAGCTTCATAGTAGCAAAACGCAGTAACAGTAGTAGTAGTAGTAGTAGTAGAAGTAGTAGTAGTAGTAGTAGTAGTAGTAGTAGTAGTAGTAGTAGTAGTAGTAGTAGTAGTAATTACAATAACAATAACAGTCATTGTCACAATAAGATGGATCGCAAGAACAAAGATACTATGGTAAGCGTAGGCTTGGCTTTGGTTGCAGGCTTGATGCTCATTGAAGAAACGGTGACATGACGATGCAATGTTAGCACGGGGTTTAGACTGGTTCAGCAAAATTATGAAGATTTACTTTACTCCGCGACCATGTTCTGCCTGATAATGCACTGAATGTTGAGAACTGTATTGCCCCATTGGGCTGGCTGGATGATAGTGTCCATTTTGGCTTCGGATCACGTCGAGAACTCTTGCTTCCGTTGCATGTGTCTCGTGCCGCTCAAGTGTAGGGCAGGAGTTTGGGGGTGGGTAGTTCTGTTGGGACTTATGTGATTTCAGCGTGTGCTTGGTGAAGCTTATGTGATATCAGGATGTGTCAGTTGAGGTTCGCGCCTCGCAATAAAGGCAAGTACAGCGGATGCCAAGATATGCTTGACATTGAAAGGGGGAGGGAGGCGCTTAGGAGATCCCCAATCCCCAGCCTTGTGTGAGCATCCTGTCAGCATCTCTGCGGCTTCTGCAGGGCTGGCTTATGAGGGAACTTATGTGAGCACCGTGTGGGAGCCCAGCATGAGTTCCACGGCTTATGTGAGGCTTATGTGAGCCCTTATGTGAGCACTATGTGGGGTCAGGGTTCGGAGAGCTGGGGGAGAGGGGTTTATGTGTACAGCCAGGGGCGCGCCGTCCCTTTCATGTGTTTTGGCTTGTTTGTGGGGATGGGCAGTGACGGGCAGTGTGGGGGTGGGCGGGGGGTGGTGCGGGGAGGGGGGAGTCGGTGGGTGGGGTGGGCCCGTCCAAGAGAAGTGCATTCCTGTCGCAAGAACGGAAACCAACGGCCTCACATAGCCCGGCATTAGCTTCAACCTTCATTCTTATGCGAGGTTCATATAAACCCCTTTTGTGGAAAGCTTATAAGTGGCTTTTGCAAGCCTTGTATAATTACACGCATAAGCAGCACCCCAACTACCCACCTGCCAACTACCCACGCGGAGCTTCCACTGACTCCCGTTCTGGTGCCACGTGTTTAGTATTTTGGGTTCGAAAAATAGAGGTCTGAAGAACTAGAAATAGTATTAGGGTAATTACGCTTATAGTCCCTGACATATAAGCCATACGATACGGTGCTGCACCCGGGTGCTGCGGTTCAGACAATACCCAGCAGTAAGTAGCTGTACGTAGTGAGTAGGAAGTAGTAGTATAAAGTGCCAAGCAGCCACACAGATCTGGTTTCGTTGTTTGACAGGTAGTTTGATTGTTTTACGTTGTCCTGCAGTGGCATCTCCACTTCTTCTTTCCTTCCAAGTGGACCAGCCGCCTGAAGTAGCAAGCAGCATGTAGTAAGCAGTACGTAGTAGGTAGCAGGTAGTAGGTAGCATTAGCGGGTAGCGGTGGCAGGTAGCAGACTACTGGGTCGTAGGTAGTAAGTAGTCGGTCCTCGTCGTCGTGGTGGTGGCGAAGATGGCAGTAGTCGTAGTAGTAGTAATAATAATAGTTGTATTTGCAGTCGTAGAACCAGAGCTAGTGGTGGTGGTAGCATTAGCGTCAGCAGTAGCAGTAGCAGTAGCTGCTGCAGTTGCAGTTGCAGTTGCAGTAGCAGTAGCAGTAGCAGTAGCAGTAGCAGTAGTGGTAGTGGTAGTGGTAGTGGTAGTGGTAGTGGTAGTGGTAGTGGTAGTGGTGGTGGTGGTAGTAGTAGTAGTGGTAGTGGTAGTGGCAGTCAATGCAGTAGCCCACGGCTGCAAGAGGACCTTATCCACGTGCTCGAGGAAGATGCCAACCCTCCGACAGTGGAAGTGGAGGCAAAGCAATTGTCAAACGGCGACATTCTTCGGAATATACGATGACTGTAATTTCTATTTAGGTTTCAAGGTTTGACGTTTGCGGCGAGAAGGATTGGAGGTTTCAGCCTCCTGTCTTTTGCACGGAGACAAGAAGAAGCTTTGAGATATTTCCACGCGACCAAGGTAGTGCTAGTGCATAGAACATCAGATTCGGCGCTTACCGTATCGAGCTGTGAATGTCGTTATGCAAGGTACAAGAGACTGCATGCCAAACTGTAGGGGGCCATGTGATGGTCCTGGTTGCCTTCATGACATTCTGCCGACTGCCTTTGTGTTGATGCGGACGCGTTGGCGATGAGCGTTGCTCAAGTTGAAGCGCCACGAAGGTTTTCGGGTGATTTTCCGAATTTGTAACTCGATTTTGGGACTTCTGGTGAAGGGTTTTTCTGCTTCAGAGCAGAAGATTTCGTTGAAGGGGCTGCCAGGCCTCAAGTTAGAGCAGAGCAAAAGGGTGCAGTACATTCAGGCCTTACAGTTGCCTTGTTCTTACCTTGCGTTACTAGGGAATGGAGGAATGGGGTACAATTATAACTACTACTACTACTACCATTCTTCCATTCCCTACTAACCAACGGTAAGTATTCTACTTCAGCAGGGTCGTAATTGTATCGGAGCACTCGCCAACGAGCCGCGCTACCTTCATAGGCGGAGTTGGCAGAGATTCCACAGCGCCAAATACGCGGGCTGAAGCGGGTCCTGGCACGAATGCCGCTTTGTGCACTTGCCACCTTGGCTGCAGTATTTTTGAAATGAGCTTCAGAATGTGTTCGCCATGCGACATAATCATATACTCTCCCAAGCTCCCAAACACCTACAGAAACGCTTTCCTAAATGCTCAGAACCTTGAGCCCTCGACCCTATAAATCCCAAGTCAGCTTAAACTGTAAACTCGATAAATCCTCAAGCAAAATGAACCTTAAACTCTGAATCCGATAGATCCTCAAGTATATTGAACCTTAAGCTTGCCTTAAAATCTCAACCTGTTAAATCCTTAAGTATGATAAACCTTGAACATGCTTTATACCCTCACCCCGCTAAATCTTCAAGTATAACGAACCTTAAGCGCGCTTCAACCCCTCAACCCGCTAACTCCGTGAACCTCATAAACTCGCTTTATAAACCCTCATGATCAACCCGCTAAATCCTCAGGTTTGCGTGAACCTTAAACTCGTCTTAGAAACTCTTAAACCGCTAAATCCTCCAGCATAATGAAGCCCCGAACCTGATAACTCCTCGAGTATAATGGACCTTGAACTCGCTTCAAACCCTCAACCCTATATGTCCTCCTGTATAATGACCCTGAAACTCGCTTTAATCCCTCCGCCTGCTAAATCCTCAAGCATAATGAATTTGAATTAACCCTGAACCCGCTAAATCCTTAAGTTGCGTAATGGACCTTAAACTTGCCTTAAGCCGTAATCCCGATAAATCCTCAAGCATAATGAGCCCAGGTTCGCCAATTTCCGTTCAGCGATCCACGGCGCATGGAGAGATTGCTCGAAAGTGTGCGACTACAGCCGCTCGGCTCGAAGTGCCCGCACCAAGGAATGCTTCTTAAGCTATGGAGAGCTTCTAGTCAGGAATGGTGGAATCTCCATGTTATATATATATATATATACACACAGATAGACAGATAGATACACAGATACTCCTTCAATTAGTACGTTTCCTTCGGTGTACAGGAGTTGTGCTCGAATGATGTAGGGCCTCCCGTCTAGATTTAAGGAATATACCCCTTCTGTGTGTGTTATTAGTTATTAGTCAGGGTTGAGGATTTAAGCTTGGCGATGTAGGGTGTGGGAATGTGTGTCTTTTGTGATTCCAGGGTATTGCAGTTTAGGGTTAACAGTTTAGATTAGGGGCTGTTTCCGAAGGTCTTACAGTTTCAGCTACATACATCGATTGATGCCGGGAAGCGCACGGTATCATCTCAGGGCTTCGAAACAAGCCTGGATTCCTTCCCCTCAAGCCACACGTAGACCTAAAGTATCCCAGACCAAAGCCTTCAAGTTAGTGAAGCCCTCTGCTCCTAAGCTTAGGAACCGCCAATGCCTGAACACGAAATCCGTGCGCAGTTCGATGAAGTGCGCCACTGAGGCTGCAGCCGACTGCCCCGCCGCCGGGTTTGGAAGATGTCGTCGTGATTCGCTTGTAGCACTCTGAGCCCTATTTATGTTTAGGCAGTCACGCAAACCTTGAGTTGATTCCATGTGCTCTGCCACAGGCAATCAGTCTACAAACCCATGAAGTCCCCCAATCCCAAGCGACCATCCACGCCGGCTCTTTGACGACCCCAGCACCTACAAGCCCTGATACTTCCACAGGCGCGCAAAGCACAGTCCCAAGCCCGCACCCGCATTGAACCTCAAATGATCCCTGGCAGAAGTTCGCAACAAGCGGCTGTTTCTACAGCAACCATGTAACTATGCGAAGGCCATTCCAAGGAGTTTGCGAAAGAGACGCAGTCAACAAGCTACCTATGATAAGACATTATGCCGTGTTATTGTCTCTGAGCCGAGCCCCAAAATATGGGAGCTTCCGAAAATTAGGCTACCTTTTTTGGGGATCCTGATAATAAGGATCCTACTATTTAGGGTGCTATTTAAGGGTCCCCTCTTTTCGGAAACTCCCATATAGATGCGAAGCCTGCTGCGCATACTAGAAGTACGAACTAGGAACCTTCAACCCTGGCATGCTCAACACCAAGTCCTGTCGACGTCTCTGGTGATCCTGTCGTAAAGGGATCAGGGCGGAGTCCTACTCTTAGGCAGCTTTAGCGCTTAGGATGTAGGGTTTTATAAGGCTTAGGAATTTCCTTCGTGTAGGGCTTTAAGTCAGGTATGTTCGAAAAAACAAAAATGTCGGCTCGTTGTCGGTGTTCTACAATCGCAGCCGTACTGTTGCCGTACTCGGTTGCTTGCAGCTTGTATCATGGCTCATACAGATAGCCCGTTAGACTCAAACGTCGTGCAGAAGAACCGTCCATGGCACTTCCTAGAACTTTGGTGCATTGACTTGCAAGCTTGGCACTGTCCCGGGCTTGACTACAGCGTATCTGTACAGGATGTCTTGCTGAGCCCTTAATTACTTTACGGGTTTCTGGACATCAAAGGCCTTGCTGGCCCCTTTCTCGATTTGCTGCGCAGGTTCTCAACCCAAGGTTTGCTCATTGCGCATGATGACCACGTTGTGGATTCGATTGCATGTCTCGACGCAGCTTCGTACGAGCGAGGCTGTTACCCCACCTGTTGATGTTACAACCTATATAAGACCATTAATCCCCAAAGCGCAACATGTTGCACGCTTGTGATAGCAGTCCTTCTCGCTCCCATCATCGACACTTATACAATGCAACCGCCAGAACTAACAACATCCAAAAAGGCAAAACTCTTGGCTGCAGGTCTACGTAAGTCTCATAAGTTGGGGTGTAGGATCTAAAGTCTTTAATGTTCAGCTGGTGTCAACCCACAGCCTTAGCCGAACCCTCCCTCCTGGCAGATGGAACCATGTAGTTCTGGGCGTAGAGACTTTGCTGTCCGTGCTGAAGCAACGCATCGCCCCAACAAAACAATCTTGGATATTGCGAGACGGCTGATGGACAGAATCCTGCATCACCTTAGGGACCATACTCCTGCTTACTAGGGGTAAGAAGGCCGTAGGCCAATCCCGCTGTTGTGCGAGAAGCACGGGCGTTCAGTGTAAGCAACTAGGATATGTGCAGCTTCCAGCATCGGAATCAGGCAGGTGCGCCTTGGTGGCATGCAGTCGATTAGTCTTATTCTGTGGTAGTTCTGAAATCAGTGGTCCTTTCATTTGCAATACGGTTCTGTGCGTACTCTGCTGTCGCCACAACCCGAACTGCTAAACAAATCCTTTCAGACACCGCACGCTTCGACTCTAGATGCCAAGCTCAAAGCCCACAGGCTAAATCTAGCACTGTAGCCCGCGTGCTAAGCCGAGAACCCAAGCGCTAAGTCTTATCCCCGACATCGTATGTAGCTCCCCTGGAAGCCCAGCTGCTGTCCTGGCAGGATCCTGTGCCTCATAACGCTTGCACTTCAACCCATGATACATGTCATTGTAGTTGCTACTAGGGTTCTCCTGAAAGGGACCACTGTTCTCACAACTGCAACTACAGCGTTCGTTTGAGCAGGCTGCTCACATCTGTTCTTTGTGGTCAGCGGTAGCGTGCAAGTAGCAAGGGTAGGAGCGTTCTTCTGCCCGACCAACTTTGGCAGAGCTGCCCTACGAGCAGTGATCTCAGAGACAATTTCTCTGGGCAAGACTCAAGACGATGTACAGAGCATCCATCCGGTCACATTATTATTTCCAGATGATGTGAACCGAACTGTTCTTTGTTTTCTTGCCGTCTCTATCGCTCAGATTGCATGGAGGGGTATATCATTGTGGATTCCGGAATATAAAACTGCCTTCTCCCGGCCGCAGATCAACGTTCATTCGTATCGCATTTCCGGTGGTGAATGGTTCCTTCCTTCTGTGAAGAACCCGAAAACTCCTTCAATGAGCCCTTAAGAGCAACTCAAGAAAGCAAGGATGTTTGCGCACAACCCCAGCCTATGCAGCCGATGACGATGGACCCCTTCCTTTGGTAGGCCTTTATTGGTGGGGCCGGGGTGCCGCGGGTTCATCGAAGGGCAACAAGGTCAAAGGAGGACTTTTAGAGAACCCAGTGCCCCAGGAGCCCCTCCACAAACTGCGATGACATGGCTCAGCGATGTAAGCAAGTCAGGGGGGGGGGGGGGGCGCCTGACATGTTTCTTTCTCACTCAGTGGTTTCAATGTGAACGATAGCCTCGGCGAGAAGTTTGACATGCGTGGAGTTCTAAGATTCCCCCTTGGATGGGGTGGAGGCTCAGCGTTTCAAGATGGTCCGCGTCGGAAACCAATCGGGGCATCACAAGTCATTGCTACACTGTGATCAGGGCTGTTCTGTCTTTTCGCAAGTGTATCTGCAGGGCACTTGTCTTCTTCATCTTCGACTACTGCTGTGCTGGTATGCTGCTTCACATGTATGTATTTTGCATCTTTTTCTGCGTGGATCCCCTGGGACCCACAGGGTCCAAGTAATGGTAATTCTAGTATATACTTTGGGGGGGCCAAATACCTATTACTATTAGTTGCACCTACTATAACCCTAAGGGTCCAAGTACCTAATTATCATATTATACTTTCCAAAGTAGTAACCTGCAAGCCCGAGAACCTGATCATTGGGTGCTTTGGACCCTTATATAGGGTAATGGTACAATACCCATCTTCCCTAAACCCTACTAAAATAATGGTACTATACCTACTATAAGGGTACTTTTAGGGTTTAGGCTTTAGGGTTTGGACCCTTTGGGGGCCTAGGGCCTGTGAGAGGCGCGGTGCGCAGGCGCTTGTCTGTAAGGTCGGCGGCCATGGAGGGACAAAGCTCCGCTCTAGAAGACAGTGCTCAGAGACTCCAAGGCTATATCATACAGGAGCAATATACTATCATATAACATACTATGACAGAATATAGTGCAATGGATATTTTACTATATACCTAAAAGATACTTAGGTAAGTAACAAAGTAACTTTGAGCAATGAGAAGAAGGCCTGGCGTCTGCAATCAGCAAAACAGCAAATGTGTCCAAGATATTTCGGCTGCGACATCTGCTTGGTCTTGCTGCATTTAACTCCGATGTATAACCCAAAGGGTCCAAGTAATGATCAGTATATACTTTGGGGGTCCAACTATCCACAAAAGTAGC